CTCAAACGAAGACAGCATGACAATAATGAAGCTGCCTGCTTTTTACAAGATGAGGCTCTGTGACTCCTGAAAGAAAAAACCCACAGCAAGAGAAGCCACAATCCCTTCAAGGCAAGTTCCTCAACACACAGGGCAGAAGAGACTCCACTCAAAGCCTCCTCAGTGTGAAACACAGTGAAACACCGCGTGCATGCCATCAGGAAGCTAGCCAGTCACTTGAGAGGTCCTCATAGTGTCACGGACAAGGTCATGTCACAGCTCACGTAAGGAGCCCTTGTGAACACAAACACTCCTAGGAGAGCTATGCACTGCCTGCTCCTCCAAGCTACTGCAAGTCAAGCTGGTTGGTTTTTACAGTAATGTATAACGAAGGAAGTCTTTCAGAATTGTTTTGCCGCCCTCCCCCCAAAAAGAGAAGAGATGCAGAAAAATCTGACAGATTTCTATCTTCACATCCTTTTTTGGAGGATGTTTACAGCAGCGTGAAGATGCTGCCTGGGCTGCCCACAGCCCACACTGGAGTCTGAGTCTGATTCTTGCTTCCATTTCCTGGGGTCCCCACTGTGTACCTTGGAACACCGCAGATGATGGTTCAAGTACACGAGAGACCTGAGTTGAGTTCCTAGCTCTTGGCTTTGGCCCAGCCCAGCCCTAGCTATTATGGGTATTTGGAGGGGAGTGAATTAGTTGGCCTCTGCCTTTCAAATAAAGAAAAAAAAAAAAAAAGGAAAAAATGTGTAAATACAAAATGAGATTTTAAGTACATGAGAAATAAAGGAGCATAAATTTATAAATATTTTGGAATTATAAGGGGCAGACTTTGCAGGATTAAGATGGGTGAGAATATTTTTCATTCACTGCTTTAGGCACCTGACTTCATTTTCCAAGAAATCCAGTTTGCAAGAAAAAAAAGGTGTAATGATCCTCTAAGCCAGTGGCTCTGGACTGGCTGTGCTATGGTGAAATCTCCAGACACACTGTCAGAGCCAGTGAGTGGGAGGGGGCAGGCTGGCATCTGTATGAGGCTGAACATCGCAGAACACCCAGGACAGCGCTGCAGAGCAAAGGACCTTGCAGTCTAACATGCACTTCGGCAGCTGAAGTTGAGACCCCGCCCTGAGTGAGCACTGCGGATCCATCTTAGGAAGATCAAAGGCTCGTCACTGTCTCATCATCAGGCAAGAATACATGGACCAAATCATCATGCTGGATTTCATACACATGCACAATTAGATGAATGACAGAAATCTTACGACATCTGAGAAAGCCTTACAACTAACATCTCGTTAGGCACACATGGACAGCACTATATGGTGGAGGCAAAGGCTGGGTACATTCATTTCCTCTATTTTCCAAACACTTCTTTCTTACACGTTTGCTGCTGCTGCAGGTGCACAGAGTGCTAGCCTAATCCACCTCCACATTTCAGGGCAACCTGAAAGTGTGGGAACTGAGCTGAGGAGGGTTCATTATAGAGAATCAGGGGCCCTTGGCTAAAGCCTGTAACTGGTCAGTCAGCTTCTTAATCTCATGGCAAAAAATATAGCCCCTGGGATGAACTGTCTAATTAGAAGAACTTAAGCCAGGCCTGGTGCAGTAGCCTAATGGCTAAAGTTCTCGCCTTGCATTGCCAGGATCCTATACGGGAGCTGGTTCTAATCCCGGCAGCCCCGCTTCCCATCCAGCTCCCTGCTTGTGGCCTGGGAAAGTAGTCGAGGACGACCCCAAAGCCTTGGGACCCTGCACCCATTTGGGAGACCCAGTAGAGGCTCCTGGCTTTGGATTGGCTCAGCTCTCACCACCGTGGCCACTTGGGGAATGAATCATCGGACAGAAGATCTTTCTCTCTGTCTCTCCTACTCTTTGTATATCTGACTTTCCAATTAAAAAAAAAAAGTACTTAAGACCTTGTTCAGCCTGGTGTTCCTTGTGAACACTAGCTTGAGTTTTAGCTCCTCCATTTCCAGTCCTGCTCCCTTCTAAGGTACTTGGGAAATGCAGAACACAGCCCAAGCAAAACCGGAGACTTGCCATCCGAATGGGAGACTGGGTGGAGTTCATGGCTTTTGGTTTTTACTTAGCTCAGATCTGGCTGTTGTGGTCATCTGGGGAGTGAACCAGCAGGTAGACAATTCCGTGCTCACTGTGACGCTGCCTTTTGAATTAGGAAGTCTTTAAAGAGTACTAAAACTCTTCTTCACCTTGCTGCCTCTGTTATATAAAATTTGAATTAAAAACAAAAACCATCCTGACACCCTCCCTCTGTATTACACAGGAAAGAAATAGCTCTCTGCTGATTAAAATACGTACTTGGGCTTCCTCCTCCTCCTTTCACTTCCCTCTTTCTTAAAGGAAATTAAATAGATGCAAAAAACACACTAAACTCCATAGACCCATTGGAGAAGTTAGAAATGTCATGTTTCAAAGCCACTAAATTATATCCTTTTTGAAAATGACACAAAGTAAAGACAATTTAAGTATAGGTCCTGTCATATATACTAAGGGATATTGGGCAAAAAATATTTGAGGTTAAATACTCTAAACCTATTTGTTCAAGTAGGTTAAATGTTTTCCTGAAATTATCTTTATAAACTTCAACTTTATGTCTGCCACGAGTACTATAAAACCTTGAATGCACAGGTTACACTGGACAGACAGCCTATTGCATGCATGTGGCTACTGATGTATCCTAAATTTAAAAAAGGGCAAAAAGAACTCTATTATAGTAATACACTCAATAATAAAGACATGGAGGGCCTGGTGTGGTGGCCTAGAGGCTAAAATCCTTTCCCTGAACTTACCAGGATCCCACATGGGCGGTGGTTCTAACCCTGGCAGCCCTGTTTGCCATCCAGCTCCCTGCTTGTGGCCTGGGAAAGCAGTTGAGGATGGCCCAAAGCCTTGGGACCCTGCACCCACGTGGGAGACCTGGAGGAGGTTCCTGGCTCCTGGCTTCAGATCGGTGTAGCTTGGGCCATTGCAGCCACCTGGGCAATGAATCATCAGACGGAAGATCTTCTCTGTCTCTTCTTCTCTCTCTCTCTCTCTCTCTCTCTCTCTCTCTCTCTCTCTCTATATATATATATATATATATATATGACTTTGTAATAAAAATAAATCTTTATTTTTTTAAAAGCGATGGAAAACTTAATTTAAAAACTGGGGCAAAGAATCTGAAAGGACATTTTTCCAAAGAGAGAATACAAAATAGAAAGTACATGGAAAAATGCTTAATGTCTTCTGCTCTCTGGGAAACCTATACTCAACCAGGATTTTTTTTTTAAGATTTATTTTATTTTATTTTATTATTGGAAAGTCAGATATACAGAGAGGAGGAGAGACAAAGAGGAAGATCTTCTGTCCAATGATTCACTCCCCAAGTGAGTGCAACAGCCCATGCTGCGCCGATCCGAAGCCAGGAGCCAGGAACTTCCTCCATGTCTCCCATGTGGGTGCAGGGTCCCATGGTTTTGGGCTGTTTTCGACTGTTTTTCCAGGCCACAAGCAAGGAGCTGGATGGGAAGTGGAGCTGCCAGGATTAGAACCGGCATCCATATGGAATCCTGGAGCGTTCCAGGCAAGGACTTTAGCCTCTAGGCCAGTGCACCAGGCCCCCAAGCAGGATTCTTACATAGCAGCTATTTTGTGCCTTGGTATACTCACATTCGGTATCTGACTGTGAGGGTTCAAGTCCTGACCATTCTGCTTCTTAACTTAGTTCCTGCAAATCCACATCCTAGGAGGTAGCAGATGATGCCTAAGGGCTTCAGCCCCGGCCACCCATGTGGGAGACCTGACTCGGTCCTGGCTCCTGGCTTGGTCCAACCCTGGCTGTTGAGGGCAACTGAGGAGTGAATCAGCAGAAGGAAGACCTCTGACTGCCTATCAAACAGTAGCCGCAGCAGTAATAGTAGTAATAATAAATCCCAGATGACACCACTTCCCACCCACTACACGGATGCTGGCAGGGATCTGGATACACTGTAATCTCCAGCACCGGTACAGTCACCTAAGAATCCAGCAGTGTCTCAAAAAGGTGACTCCAAAATGCCACTTTTAGGAATATACCTGAGATTCTCAAAACATTCATGGGAAATGTGTATTCTGGAATCATGGATTGTGAATTTTTTCTGTAGCAAAATAAAGTTCTCGTTTCATCCCTTTCCCTATCAACTTTTAGAAGTATTCTCATAGGGCAAGTGCGGTGACTTAACAGGCTAATTCTCTGCATTGTAGTGTCGGCATTCCATATAGGCACTGGTTCTAGTCCTGGCTGCTCCATTTCCAATTCAATTCCATGCTTACGGCCTGGGGAAGCAGTGGAGGATGACTCAGCTCCTTGGGCACCTGCATCCGTATCGGAGACCCGGAAGAGGCTCCTGTCTTTAGATCTGCTCAGCTCTGGCTATTGCGGCCATTTAGAGAGTGAACCAATGGATGGAAGATCTGTCTCTCTTTTCAAATAATTTATTTTGAAAAAGAAATACTCTTACATATCCAGACAAAATCTTGTGTACAAATTGTTCCAGCAGTGTGACTCCTAAAGACCAAAGAGTCAGAAAACAGCAACAAATGACAACTCTGAGCTGATGAATGAACAGATGAAACGTCAGTCAGCAACAAGTGAGCACAAAGAGCAAACAGGCCACAACATGGCTGAACCCTGAAAACACGAAGGAAGCCAGGTGACAAAGACACAATCAAAACAAGAAGGGCCGAGTACTGGCACATTTAGGGGGGCAGAACTCAGATCAGCGACTGCCTAGGCCTGGGGGAGAGGGAAGAAATGGGAGCTGACAACCAGAGAAGGCAGGACTGGTTTTCAAAACAAAGAAAATGTTCTAGAATGGAGGTGATAGAGGCATAACCCTGTGAGCGTATTAATTCATGCACTTTTCTCAATGGAATGAGTCATATACTTGAAGTGAGTGGATTGTATGGGATGTGATAACTCCATTAACTGGTGTTTGAATAAAAGCCCAGAATTTCTAGTCCATTACCTTTGCAGGAATTTCTGGAAGATGCGCCGATAGGCGTAACCCGCTCTTCTCACACGGATGTTCTCCTTCAGACCCAAATATTCCACTTGATGCTTTACCCTGGAAAGAAGTATGTGCAATCTCAACATTACTAGGCAGCCCCTTCAAACCCTCCCCAGTCTCATCAGCCATCCCCCAGAATTCCGATTCCAAGCTGCAGAGAAACACTTCAGCAAGGGCTCTACTTTGCAGTGTCTCGACACTGAAATCACCTCTCACACCTAGACTGGTAATTCTGAAATATTTTACTATGAAATGCAAGTATAAGCCGGTATATTACAGATCTGTTTCAAGGAACAGTGAAACAAAAACTCATACACACCTCTCACCCAGATTATGAACAACAACACTGGTTTTTCACAAAACTAAAGGTAAGAACTTCTAAATGTTTGAATTAAATATTTGGAGAGCTGTTTTCGCTCTTGAATGATGAATTTAATATCAATTCTAGACTTGATGAGCTTATCTGTCTAGGTTTTTCTAACAAGTTGAACAAGGTGGATTCAAGATTGCTCGTTTTAAATACCTAAGTTAACAATAGTCCAAAATATGCCTGAGGTATAATTTTAGTTGCTTTTTTAACAGTAAAAATCTGGTCAACTATTTTTGGAAGGTGGACTCAGAGCTATCCTGGATTGATGCTCCCCTATACTGGGGAGCTCCTATAGGGAAGGGAAGCCACGGACCCCAGCCCTTGGAGATGCTTGTTTATTGGCCTGGTAGGTACCTGCAGGTGCACCCTGAGAGGCAATTATTTGCAGAGGACAGCACCCTGGACTCCTGCTCTGGTGTGACGGATCAGTCCTGTGCCGGCTATCAGCAGACACTTAGAAATACGGCGTTTGAAGACAGTAAGAAATATCAAGCTGGTTGTACATCGTTCTGTGGTTAATGGAGTCCCTCATGTTCTCTGCATAGTGCCCCCCGGGGCTGCCTGCACCAAGAACAGTCCTGGGATACAGGCCCCTCCCCATCTTCATTCCAGTCCCACACAGGCTCCTGACAGCTGTCTCCCTAGCAAGGATTCAGCTGCATTGCATTGATGGCTACCACACACGAGTCACACAGTTTCCATACAAGGTGCAGAACAGGACAAAGCTATGATTCCTGCTAGAGACACCCAAAGCACAGCGATAAACACCAGGTTCTGTACCTGGGTTTTGCATGTACTCCCAGGCTCCGCCACACTGTAACCCTTCTTCGACTTAAATTCTGAGGTTCTAGTTAGGTACCTCTCTGTCAGGTATTTAACTTTTTGGCATGAATAATATAAAGCTGTTAGTCTAATATCCTTCCAGTTACAACACATGAACCAGAACAGAAGGCTGGACAAAGAAATGGATCTTCACGGTCAGAGGATTTGTAGGAACCAGGAACGATGTCCTAAATTTGCCAGGTGCAGAGGAAGACAGGTCAGAGGGTCCCATGAAAGTAAAAGTGCCAGGAAAGCCCTGTGGCTTAGGAAGGGGGGCGAGGAGAGCTCAAAGAAGAGGTGGAGACGTTGAGCCTGACTGGTCTTATCTGAGCCATCAGCCAGAGAGGCTGACCCCTTTAAGATAATGAACTTTTTATGTCTTCATAATCAATACCCACTTTCCTGCAGTATGACAGACAGGTCATCAGGTAGATGAAACAGAAGATAGATAGGTCAGGGAGGCAAGGAGGTTGACAGCTAGCGAACCAAAGGAGAAGGTATCTGATTCAGTAAACAAAACTCCCCACTGGCCTTTTCCTTACAGTAAGAAGAATAAACACAAGGATGCCCATCTCAGATATTGGCTCATTTCAAGATCCTTTTCACAGACATTGGTTTCACTCTAAGCTTCGAGGCAGGGGATGTATCACCCACTGATTCAAGAATAAATTTCATTTCCCATGAATCACATAAGGAAGAATATTCCCTGTGTCAAAATACTGTTTCATTCATTCTAACTTTCACCATCAGGAAATTTAACACAAGTTTCCTTGTCTAGGATGCTCACAAACCCTGTACCATACAAAAGCTCACATCATCAGAGCATCCGAGTTAACTTCTGTGTCTGCCTGGCCAGACAGGCCTTGCCGTTCCCTTGGTCGTGTCATCTTTGTCTTTTGAGGGAAGTCCTCTCTCAAGATCATCCTGGGCCTTAAACTCACAGAAGTCAAGGCCTGAGATCTCCCAGAGGGCAAGTGGGCATCTAAGACAAGCCACGAGGCAGGAAGTAAAAACAAACAAACAAACAACAACAAAACCACACTGACAACAGGAACAGAAAAAAACCCTACGGTGGATCAACTTGTGGACTGAATAATCCTGTTCCCCCAAACCCGTGACTGAGCATCTAACGCCTGCCAGGGAGGCACACTGTCCTTTCACGGTCCCAGTGCTGCCCATTCACAGATGGAGAGAAAGCTTCCATCTCAGAGAAAACCTGAACCAGGATTAGGGTTCGGGACCCATCAGCAAGCAACCTTACCGGCAACATCAATCATCACTTGACCCACTAACACTTGAACTTAACTCTCTTGTACACAAATGCATGTCATGTTCTCTGCAATTCAAATAATAGGAGCAAAAAAATCTAAATCAGGAACACAAGGGGAAATCCTGTGAGAATTTCCCGAGTAAATCTACTGGCTTAATGTCTCCCTTGTTGATGTTGCAATGAATCAGCTTGCATTTTATGAAAAGGGATCATCAGTGTTGGGGAACTTCTAAAACAGGAGCTGCAGGAAAATTCGCTTTGAGAGGGGCTTTCCACTGAGGAAGCTATTTGGGGTAGAGGAGGATACGTTGTGGGTATTGCATTTGTATGGCGAGATGTTTTCAAGTCAGATGGTTTGCTGGGAAGAGTCGGAGAAGGGGCGATGGATGGATTTTGAAATCGGGGAGGGAAGGCTAAGGCACTGCTTAGCAATACTTCTGCTCCTAAGACTCTCACAATTTGCTTCTGAGGTTCCCCAGGACAGCACCCTTCTACTGGAGGGTGGAAACCCAGGTGTTCAGGAGGTGCATGAGTGGACATTTCTAATGGGAGTGTTGGGGAGCAGAGCGGAAGTGCTCATTCGTGGAAGGAATACTGCTCTGGAGTGAACTGAGTCTACAGAGGAAAAGAATAAAGACTAAGGAGACAAGGAGTCCTATTTAGGACTAGCATCAGTACGTGTCTTCCAAAATCCAGTCCAGGCCCTTGCCTTCCAAGATCTGTGGTTCTCAAAGTGTGATGTGTATGGACCACTATCACCATCAGCACCTGTATTGCATGGAGATACATATACAATCTTCCTCAGTCTACCTCAGATGCACTGAGGCAGAAATGCTGAGAGGAGGACCTGGAAATCTCAACAAGTCCTCCAAAGTTATCTCAAGGTTGAGAACCAAAGTGGAAGGATCCAAAAGTCATTCTATATCTTCAAGTGGAAGTAATGTCAGTTCTGCTACCTACTTGCTGTCAAAGAAGTGTGTCTATCATTTAGAAAGGAGGACAAATAAAGGATTACCAGAAAAGCGCGCAAAAGGGGGAACAGCTGGAATCTAGGTGCAAGTCGCATCACAGGAGGACCCGGGAGTGGTGGTCAGCCCCTGGAAGAGGACAGTCAGGGAAACGAGCTGCCTGTCTGGACCCAGCAGGAGAGCTAAGGAGTGGGAAAGTACGAAGAAGCCTTCATAGAGTGGGCAAGAGAACCACGGTGACCATGAGAGCAACCCAGAAAAGGGCAGTGCACAGTTGTAAAAGTTGGACTGACCACCTTAGCAAATGTGAGCTCCTCCTCAGAGTCCAGGAATCAGTAACAGAGAGCGTTATGGGAGGAATCTCAGATGAGAAGAAATGGGACAATTCCAGTGGTATAACGGAAAAGATGCCTTACAAATAGCAGTCAGTAGATGAGATGACCCAGAGGGAAGCACCTGACATCCAAACTCCAAAACTTCTTTTTTCTTTATATGTGGGGTGATGGGGGAAGGTGAGCATGTGTCTGTGAAAGACGTGGGGTGGGGGTGGGGGGAAATCAACACAATCAACACAAATAGAGCTGCCATCCGCTGGTTCACTCCCCAAATGCCTGCACCAGCTGGGGCAGAGCCAGGGTGACGCCAGGAGGCTGCAACTCAATCTGGGTGTCCCACACGGGTGATGGGCCGTCACCCGCTGCCTCGGAGGGTCTGCAATGACAGGGAGCTGGATCAGACATAGAGTCAGGACTCAAACCCAGTCACTCAGCTATGGGATGGAAAGGTCCTGACATATTAAGCACTAGGCCGCATGGTTGCCCTTGCTGCAGCTAGCCTTCTTCAGAGGAGGAAACAGATGGCACTATGAATTACTAGGCTTAGAGAAGAACCTTCAGGTACTAAATGACTATGAAGGATTCATTACCTCTTGTAATGGTTGATAAAGATCCCGCTGGCAGGATGGGAAATGGATCTACACACGTCTCGTAGGAGGTCATTAATTTTAATCCTAGTCTTCCCATTGAAGTTAAGCCTTGATTTACTCTCTTGGTACCTAACAGGGACTATTTTCTTGCTCTATGAGAAAAGAGGCTGCGGTGTAGGAGGCTGATACCCTGGGATCTGACCACCTGCTGAGGTAACGACCAGTGCTACCTTTCACAGCTGAGGTCACCGAGCATGGAAGCTCTCCCCAGCCCCGTTTTCTTGATTCCAATGCACATCAAGGTCAAAGTCCATAGGCATGTGCATTCCCCCAAACACCTTCATTCATCAGCTTCCAATTTCTCAACTCCACACCACCACCAGTCTGCCTAAGCCAATGGCCCGCAGCACTACTGGCAGGAAGGCCCACAGACATGGGCTTCCTCACAGGTCAGCGCACAGAGGGGTCACTGGACAAGCTCTACCAGCATCTTCTTGGCTTTGTACCTCTCACTTGGTCTCCCCGCTCTTCTGCACACACTTGGGAGGAATGGCATCACCCCCAGTATGTCCCCTGGCTCTTCATGAGCTCCTGCAAGGGACAGCCTTTCTGCCAGCACATTCCTGCTGGCCCCAAGCTGAGCACATGCGCTAAGCACTCTAGCCACATCCTGTGGGTGCTGACCCAGAGTTAAGCCCACCAAGAACGCCTACACAGAGCCTCAAACTAACTCTAAATCCATCCCAACTTGCAGTGTTAGGGTTTTGTCTTGTTATTTCCATCTGCCCCCAGACTAGCCAAAATCAACATTATAAATTGCTAATTCAGAGCTGAGTGGTGATGCTAACATTTTAGCAAAAGATGGACACAAACATACAGGCTTTGACCTCTCCCCTCAAAAAATGTTAGTACCTCTGTTTTTGAGAAAAAACAGTATACATGGGTGTGTATCTAACATCTGAACCAAATGTGGCAAAACGTTAAGAATTAAAAATAATAATAATAAAAAGCAAGCTAAGGCACAAGGACACACTCAATGCATCAGACAACAGAAAATGCTCCTGTTTGTGGCCGAGAATGACAGCTGCTGGGCAGAGGCTGCAGCCAGGCCCACTGTGGCCAGTCTCCACCTCCCACCTGCCGGCTGCACCCTACCTGCTTTCCTCCCAGTCCTTGGGCTTCTTGGTCTCGTTGGGTTTTATGCAGCGAATGTAGTGAGGTGTGCATTTCATCAGGGTGTTCACAAGGTCATTGGCTTGTTTCTAGGAAGGAAGAAAAACATTATTTAGAAACTTGGAACTTTTCTCAAATGCAGAACCACTTTCAAGGGAGACTTGTGAAACTCCAGCCTGGGAGTAGACAGCTGCAAATCAATCTTCATGTCAACTTTTTCATCAAGATTCAGTCAGGTCTACTAAACTTTAAGACTCTGCTTACTTTTACAACAATTTTATCACTCATAAATAGGCTTGAAATATGATCTTTGGAAGCAAATAGGCTTTTTCTTAAACACAGGTAATAAAATAAAAGCTCAGTAAATCTACACATAAAATTCCTTTCATGTGGTATGAGGAGGCATGCCAATGATTTATTTATTTGTACTCATTTGAAAAGGCAGAAGGGTGGGTGGGGAAAAGGAGAGGGAAGAAGGGAGGAGAGAAGGACCACCCACCCACTGACTGGGCCAGGCTGAAAGCGGAAGCAGAGAATTCAACCCTGCTTTCCAAAAGGGACGGCACAGGACAAAGTACTTCTTAGAGAAAGAGATATCTTCCATCCACTGGTTCACTCCTCAAATGGTTGCAATGACTGGGGCTGGGCCAGCTTAAAGCCAGGGAGCCTGGTACTCCATCTAAGTCTCCCACATGGATGGCGGGGTCCCAATCCGAATACCTGGGCCATCTTCTGATGGTTTCCCAGGTGCATCTGCACAGAGCTGTATCAGAAGCAGAGCAGCCAGGACTTAAAACGACATTCTCATAAGGGGTGCCAATGTTGCAAGTGGTGGCTTAGTTAGCTATGCTGCTATAATGGCCCTGGGACCCACGTGCTTAAGCCATCATCTGATGCCCCCAGGGTGTGTTTTAGCAAGAACCTAAAAATAGAAACGGTGCCAGTACCCAAACCTAGGGACTCTGACTTGGGGTGTGGCCATCCCAAGCAGTCACCTGTCTACTTTTGATGTGTCATTTCACTCTTCTTCCTCAACATGTCCTGCTACAAACTTGTGGACTCCGCTCACTTTTTACACTTGACTCTCCTTTCCAAGCCTGAAATATGCCCTAAGAAACCATCTACTATTGCCTAAAGGTATGGGGTACCCAGTATGAAACTGGGTTCAAGCAGAAAAAGCACTCTGCTTCCTCCGCAAAAGTAAACCTGGAATTTCAAGTCATGAGAATCTCACACTTGCTTCAAAAACACGGGAGCCAAGCCCGCAGCAGCATTCCCGGCACACAGCAGAGCACGCCCACTGTGCCCACGGATGCCGCACATGTGTGGACTCTACTTCCAAGGAAGTCAGCGTGAAGGGAGAGAAACCTCGAAAAGAAAATAGCAGACAGGGATCTCCCAAGCCAGAAACCATTACCGAGTCAGCAGAAGGGATTTGCTTCCAATAGAGAAATCTCTCTCAATTAGGGCTTTGCTGTTTGCAAGGCTTTGGGAAATCTGAAACCCTTGAGAAAAAGCTACTGGGCAGAGTCGGTGCAAGATGTTCCCTGGTGACTTGAGTCCTGTCTAGATGCACAGAGAGCAGCGTTCTTCACAGGGCCTGAAGCCGAGAGATTGCTGCAGAGGTGCCATGACCGAAGTGAAGGACTCTGATGAAAAACGCACAGTGCCTCTTGGACGATGCAGCATGCACGCAAGCTGAGCCTAACGCTCTTGGCCACATGGAAGGTCAAGATGGAGTGGGGTGCAGAAGCACTTTAACAAAGTTTTTTTTTTTTTTAAAGTTCCCAAACTCCTTGTAGTTTTTCAACTTAAATTTGTAGATTTTACTTCACTACTCAATTCAAAATTTCGATCTCTTCTGCTCCAAGCTTTTAACAGGATATCTTATTTTCATCTCAGCATATAAAAACATGTGGTCATGAAGCAGTAACTAGATGTGACCCTCACTCCAGGCAGGAAGCAGCCCATGAGTTAGACTAGAAAGGTATCAGGGAAAGTGAGAAAAAGTTTAGGATGAGGCCACTCACTTAAACATAAATAATCAGAGGGTCACAGGGAGGGAGGGAGAGATATGAAAAGATGATGGGACTGCTCACTCCCCGAAACTCCTGCCAGCACCCAACTTTAGCCAGGAGCTAAGAACCCAGTCCAGGTCTCACACGGGTGGCAGGAACCAGTGTCTTCCCTATCACAGCTGCTTCCGAGGGCCTGAATAAGCAGGGGGCTGGCGACGGAGTCAGGGCCATCCTCAGAGCGTCGTGACATCTAGGCCAAACACCTGTCCTGAAACATCTCCACTCCATCTTCTACACAGATGACTAGCAGGCCTGCATTGGGGTCTTGGCTCTGTTCTCTGCAAGCTACGATACAAATCACTACATTTCTTTGAGCTTACGTCTCTCCATCCATCTACTAAGTAGTTGAACTAGAAAACTTCTAATATCTTTTTATAAGATGTATGTGAAAGACAAAGGGTGGTCCCACCTGCGGGCTCACACCTCAAATGCCCACAATTACTGGGACTGGTTGGCAGCCAAAGCTGGGAGCCAGATATTCAATCCAGATTGCCCAAGCAGGTGGCAGAAACCCAACGACTTGAACCATGATTGCTGCCTCCCAGCCTCAGCATAGGCAGAAAGCTAGAGCTTAGCCCCAAACCCAGCTGCTCTGATGTGGGCGGTGTGTGTCCTAACCAACAGGCCTGATGCCCACTGCCCAGGACCACAACCTAGGGTTGGAATAGCTGATCAAGAATAAGGCAAGAAAAGCTTGATGCCTGCAGTTCCTCTGATGCAGCCTCAGTTAGATACCGCAGCAACTGCACGCCTTTTCCCGGGACTGCCATTCTTGTGCTCTAAATTTAACACAACAGCCTTCCACTCACAATAATATAGAATTTACAGATGTCTCAAAATCGAGTGTTAATAAGATGTAATATGCTTTAATTTATAATCAATTAATCAATAAATTATAACCAAAAAGAACAGTATTACATTCAACATAATACCCATCAGCAGTGTTTCTAAACATATTTAACAGCAATATACATTTTGTTGTTCTTTCAGGGAACTGAGGGTTTCTTCAAAAGCTTATACCTCATGGCTGTCGTGGTGGCACAGCACACTAGGTCTCTGCCTGCAGTGCCAGCATGCCATATAGGTGTTGGTTTGAGTCCCAGAGGCTCTACTTCTCATGCAACTCCCTGCTTATGGCCTGGAAAAGTAGCAGGGGATGCTCCTGCTCCTACGTGGCAAACTAGGAAAGAAGTCCCTGCTCCCTGGCTTTGGATCAGCTCAGCTCTGGCCATTGTGGCCAACTGGGAAATGAACCAGTATCTGGAAGATCTCTTTCTCTGTAACTCTGCTTTCTACTAAAAAGGAATAATTTTTTTTTTTTGCTTTACAGATATTATTTATTCTAAATTTACAGTGCATTCTTTTTTTTTTTTTTACATTTTAAAAATTTTGAATTTTATGATAGGATTCTATAGGGTCTGGGATTTCCACCCCTTCAAGTTCCCATTCCCTGAGTGATTTTCCCCATATTATTACAATAGTATAGTCCTTCATAAGCAGTCATAAGTCAATCAGTCTGTTATTTAAGTGTGCCCCAACATTGCTGGTACAACATCAGAAAGTCCATCACCCCATTGTCTAGATGTCCAACAGTTTCACTGGGAGTCCATCTTTGATTTGTAAGTAGGGATACATACTGCATTGCATCTTCACATCTGAATATAATAGTCTCTGAAATAAATCTTTATTTTAAAAAAAAAGACTTACACCTCAGAGATAATATTAAGCTAATGCTTAGAGACACCTGCAAAATACGATGGAAACAGTGGACATAGAAGAGATGAGAGACTGGGTTGGAGCTGTGCTTCCCTAAGAGGTGTCTTAGTAAGAACACACAGAACAAGGGGATCACTGCAGTGTTGGAGGGAGACCCACCAGGCATAGGTGGGCTACACAATCCAGAGAGGTGTGATGGAGGCGTGAGAGAGTGCAGTAAGATCCCCTTGGGTAAGCTGGCTGGCTTCAGGAGGCGCTCCCTGCACGACAGCCGAGATCTGTAATCCTAAACACTCGGAGGTCCACCCAGAAGAGTGGCAACCTCGGACACTCAGCTAGCCAAGAACTAGAACGGCAAGCAATGGGTCCAGCCCCAGGATGAGGAGAGAAATGCCTCTATTCCCACTCTCCATTCCACAGGGAGGAAGCCACACCACTTGGAGATGAGTCATGGTCGTGTTGACGATCCAGGCCACTTGGATCCAAACGTGACAGTCTCATGACCACTCTCTGCAGCCTAGAGTGAGTCCCTACCCAGGACCTCGCAGTAAAGGCATGAGTCAGAAAACTCACACGGAAGCTGAGACCTCAGACTTTGGGAGAATTTTGTCTGCTTTCTGCCCCATTGGTCCTAGCTCAGCAACCATCCCGGATATCTCACTACCCGAGTTTAGGGGACTTAACGCCGCTGAAATGTGAAGGGCTCTACACTCCAGCCAAAAACTCGGCTTGCACCCAACTTCCTGCATCAGACCAGAAGGTTCCTCTTGCACATCTGATGGAATGAGATCTTACTAGCTGTTTAGTCCAGCTGGTGCTTCTGCCCAGAGCAAGCTCACCATGGGCTGGAGGGCAGGAGATGCTTAGAGAAGAGTGAGCCAGTGAGCAGAACAGACAAGAACACCAGGGTGAGGCTTGGGTCATTCCGGAGGGCATCGTAAGTGAATGTGGGGGGAATGCACAATCTGGGTGGGGAACCAGGTATCTAAAAGACTTCTGATGCCCATCAAGACTGAATCAAAGATGAACAAGCACAGGGCAGGGAGGGGAGAAGCGGCCAGACTGCGAGGGGCTAATGCACACTTGTGCTGAGCGTGCTTCAGACACTGAGGTTAAATGCCTGCGATGAATTATTGCAGTTAGTCATCACAGCCTTCCCTTGAGATAAGTACTAAGACCTCAGTCTTACAGATGAACAAAAGCAGCACTGAGAGTTCAACTCATTGGCTTTCAGGCAGCTTATAAAAAGCTGAGCTGGGTTGCTGACACAGGTGCTCAAAACCAAAGCCCTCTACTGCCAACTATTTGACATTCTCTTTGATGGCAACATTCAGAAACTTCGATTAGTAGTATGCAGAAAACATTCTTGGGACTGGCATTTGGTCTAGTGATTACAATACTGGTTAGGAATGTTAGAGGGACTGGCACTGTGGCATACTGGTAAAGCCACTGCCTGGAGCACCAATGTTCTGCACAGGTACTAATTGGAGTCCTGGCTGCCCTACTTGCAATCCAGCTTCTTGCTAACAGTCTGGGAAAGCCATGGAGGATGGCCCAAGTGCCTGGGACCTTACACCCACGTGGGAGTCCCAGAAGAAGCTTTTGGTTCCTGGATTTGGCCTGGTTCAGTTCCATCAGTTGTGGCTATTTAGGGAAATGAACCAGCAGACAGAAGATCCCTGCCCCTTTCTTCCCCATCCTCTCCATAACTTTAAAATAAATAAGTCTAAAAGAATTCTATCAGCATGTCTGGGTGGCATTCCTGGCCCCACTGTGGATTCCATCTTCCTGCCAGTGCAGGCCCTGGAAATCAGAGGTGATGGCTCATTCAGTTGGAAATCAACTACCCAAGTGGGGGACCTGGGTTGGGTTTGGGTTCTGAGTTCAGCTTCATCTGTTGCAAGCATGCAGGAAGTGAACTACTGGATGAGGGTTCTACTTCTTAAAATATACAAATTTAAAAATGAGTTCATCTCCCCAAATGCCCACAATATCCAAGACTGGGTCAATCAAAGCCAGGAGTTGAGAATTCACTCAGGGTCTCCCTCATGGGTGGGGTGGCAAGGACCTAACTCCTCGAGCCATCAACTGCTGCCTACCCAAGGGCATTAGCAGGAGGCTGGACGGGAGGGGGAACAACGAGACTCAACCTGCTGCTCTGATAGGAGAAGACAATGTCCCAAGTGACAGTTTGACCTCACTGTATTACAATGCTGGCACTGATACACATATATTTTTAAACTGGTTTAGTGACTTTCTCAGAGTTACTTGACTAAGTGTACCTCTCGATCCACAGCATAATTAAGGACAATGGACTCTGCTACACAATGACTCAACTAACAGAGCCCTGCCCACAGAGGCCGGGAGAGCGCTGTCAGAAGTTCACGTGACAGTGAGACACCCGAGGTCCAGATGTGTGTGCAATGCACGGCCAGGAGGGGCCTGCCAGACCCTCGGGGGGCGGGGTGCCCCTAGCACCACTGGAAGACTAAGTAGCATTTCAGGGTAAGAAATGTGCTGTTCTTGGCTAAGCTTTTGGGTCTGGCCTGGAGAGACTGTCATCAACACATAGACTGTGGCTCCAAACCAGGACATTTCTGATAGTTTAACATAAATTGTTCCAGATTCAGTTTCAGCCATTTCCTCTTAGAAAGTAGCTGATCATCATCTGCTGGCTATTAAGCTCCAAGGTAGTTAACATCCATGTGGTCCATCAGTCCAGCCAAGTCAAATTCAGCTTGCATCCTGTGGCTAGTTCACCAGCAGCACTATGACTTTTGGCCCTCTTCTCCAACCACCCCCTTTGCATCTCACTGACCTCATCTTGGCCCGGGGTGCTGTTCCTGACTCTTAAAAAACCCTAGATCGCATAGGAATCTAGAAACTGCCCGAAATAGAACTAACCTTTATTTTGCTTCCGGCAGTAGTTGGGCGCCCTTTCTTGTCAGCTTGCAGATTTTCAGGAAATAAAGACTTTATAAAAGGCCTAGAAAAGGAGAAAGAGAATGGATCAGCAATCTGGAAGTACCTTGGGGGCTAAAATCCTGCTTCTGCAGCGTGCAGGGTGGAGCCGAGTGCAGCAACACATCATTTTGGCTACAAAAAGGCCCTGACTCAGTGCAAACCATCAGGATGTGACTTGGTGAAAACAGCAGCAGATGAAAGACACACAGAGGCATAACTCTAACAGAAGCAATTTGGAGTCTAAGCTTGCAAAATCAGGTTTAAACCTTCGCCTTGCAAATGTCCCCACTCCCTGGAATTGAGGCAGCCTCTGCCAATAACACATAATGAGGGAACATTCAGGGCAGGTTTGCTAGGTCTGCCTGGGAGGTGGAGCTCAGGGAACTGTGGGAAGTGACTGGGCTCAATCCAGAGGATGGCTGAGTCTAGAGCAGGGTTTCTGAACCCAGGTATGTGAGTGACATTCATGGCTGAGATTGTTTTATTCATTTTTTTAATTTAGAGGAGGATAATCTTCTACCTACTGGTTCACTGCCCAAGTAGCAGCAATAGCCAGGGCTGAGTGAAGCTGACAGTACTGGCCCAGAACTCCAACCACAGTTCTCGTATGGTTCCAGCCACCCAGGCACTTGCCATCTTCTGCTGCTTTCCCAGTCACATCAGTAGGGAGCTCGACTGAAATGGAACAGGTGGGATTTGAAAAGGCACCCTAAAGGGATGCCAGCACTTCAGGTAGCAATTTAACTTGCTGTGCCACAATGCTGGTCCTAGTAACCTTAAGATTTATCTATTTGAAAATGTTAGAGGTCTTCCACCTGCTGGTTCACTCCCCAAATAGCCACAGTGGCAATAGCTGGCTTAGGCTGAAGTCAGAGGCTTCCCTGAGGTCTGCCACGTGGGTAGCAGTGGCTCAAGGACTTGGACCATCCTCCACTGCTTTCCCAGGCTATTTCCAGTAAGCTGGGTCTGAAGTGGAGCAGCTGGGATGGGAACTAATGCTGACATGGGATACTAGTGTTTTTTACTTGCTCAGGAAAAAAAAAACCCTTAATTAGCATTCACCTATTTCAGAGCAGAGAATGAGGTAGAAGGGAAAGAACAGGGAGGCAAGGAGAGGGAAGGCCGGTGGGAGGAGGAGAAATTTTTCATCTACTGGTTCATTCCCCAAACACAACAAGAGCCAGGGTGAAACTGAAGCCAGGAGCTAGAACGACCTAGGTCTTCCATGCGGAGGATAGAGACCCAAGTACTTAAGCCATCACCTGCTGCCTGCTAGGGCATCAACTAGAAGGAATATAAACTTGGGAGTGGTGCCAGAACTCAAACCGCCAACATGCGATATGGCTTCACAACCACCATGCCACATACCGAGTGGCTGGATAATTCTTAGGAGTTGGGACTGGGATCAGGGCAGGAGGACATTCCACATACTGTAATAGCATTGGTGGCATCTGCTCACTAGATGTCAGCAGCATCCTTGTCCCCCCAGACAATTCTTGGACAAACTGCACATTAGTAACCCCAAGCGGGGCAGTCACAAGTCTAATGCTTTCTCCCTGCTACATATATACACACACGAGCAGTTCTAAATAAGCTGCCTGTGTCCCATAGCAGCCTCACCAGCACACAGGGCAGGAACAGTGACTGCCGTTGTCCCCTTAGTGGCTCTGGCATCTAAAGCACAGCCTAGAACCCAGTAGGTATGCAATACTTGCTAACTGGCCACATGAGTAAATGATTCATATAAGCTGGTGATCTGACTTCTAACCCCAAACTCATTTCCTCTTAAATGACTCTCTAGGCATCTTTAAATTTCCAGGAAGTCTCCCCAGCAATCTATTTCTAACAGGACCAGGCATAATTCTAGATTTTTGTAGCCACTGTGTTTACAGAACAATAAGCCATGTTTGTAGAGGTTGACGTGTAAGCAGTGACAGGGCTTGAATGAGGCAGGAGCTGGACAGTTAAGTCTGCACCTGACTACTGTAAATCCCACACTGGCAGATGCCTGAATTTTATGGCAAAGAACAAACAGATGTGATGTGTTCTGAATGATAAGAAAGCCAATGTCGGGCCCGGCGGGGTGGTCTAGCGGCTAAAGTCCTCCCCTTGAACACACCAGGATCCCATAGGGAGTTGGTTCTAATCCTGGCAGCTCCACTTCCTATCCAGCTCCCTGCTTGTGGCCTGGGAAAGCAGTTGAGGATGGCCCAAAGCCTTGGGACCCTGTACCCACGTGGGAGACCTGGAGGAAGTTCCTGGCTCCTAGCTTTGGATTGGCACAGCATGGGCCATTGTGCTCACTTGGGGAGTAAATCATTGGACAGAGATCTTCCTCTTTGTCTCTCCTCCTCTCTGTATATCTAACTTAAAAAAAACTTAAAAATCTTAAAAAAAAAAAAAAAGAAAAGAAGAAAAGAAAGAAAGCCAGTGTCCCCAAAGTGGTGGTATGTGGGCAAGGAAGCACAGAGGTGAGGAGGAGGTTAGGGGAGAGCTCAATGGAGTCGAATGCCTTCAGGACAGGGCTGCAAGGGACCCTGGCTTTGCTTTTGGTGCTGTTAAGCCTTAAGCTTGCTGCAGTTGGTTTAGTTCACTCTGCTGCTAATGGCCCCTTTAGTAAATCAAAAGGGCAGCTCTTCCTTGGAAGCAGCTAGAAAAAATGTTGAGCTCTGAAGGGTTGTGCCACATTGTACTTTGCCTGGCCTGCTCGCATCAACCACGTCTACATTCCCAGGGGCTGAGAAATCTTTGTGGGGAAGAAGGGGAGCAAGGACACAGAGCTGGTTCTGAGAGTGCCAGCCACTTACAAGGGGCTGCCCCCCCCATTCCCTACAGACCAGTTTTTGGGAGGGAGGAGCTCTGGGTCATTCCTCCCCTCAGTCTCTCCCGGAGTTCTTGAACCATTTCTTGAATGTCTCAGGGACTCAAGGGTACCTGCGTAAGCCATCTGTAAAAGCCAAGTCACCACAGCCAATACCTTGGGTGATATTCCCAGGGCAAAATATGATAGAACCCCATCGAGGGGGCCCCTCAAGGAGCAAGGACTTTTAGGGGCAGAAGGGAGAGACCAAGATAGGAAAAAGGAAGTCAGTTTTGAGAACTCCTACTCTACCCAACAGCCTAAAGGATAAGATACTAACGACTCCATAAACTCAATGCTAACGACCGCAGGTTTGTTGTGATATTGGAACTCTCACTGCACGCACAGCCCCTGTCACACAAGGCCAAACACACTTACAGCTCACTGCTCTGCATGAGTTCGATGAGATCCATGAAGAGCACATCACGGTTCCTTTCACAGAAGCCATCCATGTCATAGGATACCTGAGTAGAATGGGAAGAAATATAATTTTATCCCACAATTATGTCACCGGACAACAAAACAAAGGATACTAAGCTGGCCTGGTTTTCCCTGTCAGAATGTGCCCATTTCCAGAGGTAGAATTTGGGATTTCATCAATTGTCACACAAAAGCCGGGGCTGCCTCGGCTGCTGGGGCTACAGATGCTGACACCACCACGCTGGTGAACTCAGAGTGAAACTCCAGCTCTTAAGATCACAGGCCTCTTCTTCAGTGGACCTACAGGGATCTCTAAGCAATGGCAACTTAACTCTTTTCCTACTTTTTAGCTAAGTCAAGAACAAATATGAAGCCCTCCTTGCTCTTTAATAACCCACTGCAAGGAGCCATGGTGTCCAGAAGTTTCGTTTGCCATTCTCCCAGAAGTGGCACCAGAGTTGCTTCAATGTGGCTGGAAATGTATGTTCAGGAACCCTAGTTGACAAGAAGCTGGCTGGGATGAAGGATGAAAATCAATGACTCCCCACAGTTCCCAAGAGCCATGACTTCAACTCGTTTACCTAAGCTCTTCCCCACCACCAACCCTCCAGGCATGCAGGAGCTCAACTTTCATGTGCTTTCTGAGAATCAACCCCAAAATGGAGCTGCTGGTCTTGATGTACACTTCTCATCAGGAAGCAGGGAAGGTAAGTCTGGGACAGCAGCAAGAGGCAACCCCAACAACCTTTCCTTTAGCCACAGTGCATATACCAGGTGAGCTACACTTTGAAAAGATGCTGCAGCATGTACAATCCTTTGCTTTGCCTTTCCAAATACATCAGGTGTCCTAATTGTTGAATGAATAAAATACAGGGAGGCATACAGACAGTGGCAACATTGTCTCCAGGAGGAAACAGACCAGACACCACAATGCAGGTAGGCGTTGATTGAACCTCCCCTTTGCTGTTGAATCCATGCCCCCCTTGGACCACACCTTCCCAGCATAATGGTGAATGATGAAGCCTTGGTTCCAGCTGTTGAAGTGCTCGTGGCTGCCAATTTGCATCTGGAGTTTCTGGAGCAGCGTCTGATCGGCCCCCTCACCCACGGCATGCATGGTGGCACACACATCGTCCAGGATGCTCATGATGCCAGGAGGGTTCTGTGGGGACCAAGAAGGCAAAGCCTCAATCACTGAATGTTCCAAAACACATGGGGCTCATCAGACCCTGCCTCTCAACAAAACAGACTTGAGACACCATTTAAACAAGACACCAGTTAAAACAGTTACACTTTAGACACCATCTTGAAAGTCAGCCTTCCCCTTGAGACAAGCAAGTGAAACAGTCTTACATGGGGAATTATCCTAGATCCAAAAGGGACTCACCACTTGAGTCAGAAGATTTAGAAGTGCACTTTCCAAAAAGCTGCTGAATTGCTGCAAGCTTTTATTGAAAGTCATGCATATAGTTATCTTCTCACTCACTCTTTGTATTAAACTGACTTGAACAATTGCAGAGAAAAATGGAAACATTTTCCTTTAACCCTAATTCATCTTTTGAGGTCCCCCGGTAGCCTGTTATTTCTATAGGCACTTACAATCCCCAACTCTATATTTTCTGCTGTGTACAGTTCTTTTCCCCCAATGGCACTGTTCTATACACAAACATCCTCATGACTTATAAACTGTCATATTTTAATGATTCTATTTCCTTGCTCTGACATGCTACGGCCTTTTAACTGTTCCCAGCTTTTATATTTCATTTCAAAATACAAAGAAACAAAAAGAGAAAGTAAGAAATAGTCCTGTAGACAGCTCTCTCTAAACGCAGTGTGTCCATTATATTTTTTTTCGGGTCATTTCTGAGGACCAAATTTGTATATGTTCCAGGACTGCACTATTACACTAACTTTATGCCTCTTCATACACTATGCCATCATCTTGAGTGATAATCATCTGTTAGAGTTCAGCAACCAATTCCACTTGTCAACTGACATTCTACTCATTCAGGAAATACGGACATGTGAACGAGAGAAAGTTACTGTTCTGTTCTCATACATACATACACAAACTGTAAACATGAACATTTTCTGCAGCTCTGAGTTGTCACTTTGCTTCTTCCAAAAACAACAACAGAGAACAAAAATGTACTTTGCAGCGCACCTGCGATCAGCGAAGAACTACTGCGAAGGAACACTTACCACTTTGTTCTCAATGAGGTCACACACAACTTTGTTATTAAAGTATTCGATGGGTGTCCATCTTATTCCCTCTTGAACATATTCTTCCTGAATGGCAGAAACCAGGAACTCACATAAACCAGCAGGAAACAGAAAACTTGTCTTTCCAACAAGGACTGAAAGTCCAAGTTCTCTTTTTGTGGGAGAGGTGATAAGAGAGGAAGTTTATTCCTCAAAGATCTTTAGGTCTGGTTTGAACCACAGGAACTTGCCACCACGCTGTTGCTTTAATGGCACAATGTAACCTGTAAGTCTAGTTAAAAACAAAGCTCTCAACTTCCTGCAGGACTCAAGTACAGATTGGTGTCTGGGACTCTGAAGGTGAAGACCCCAAACTCAAGATGAATTGCTTATGTAACTTGACAAGCATGATTCCACTGTCACGGTGTGCTTGCTCCCCAGCTTTGCTTTGCTACCTTCCTTTTCTTTCTTGCATATGATGGACTGTCTCAGGGCTCAGGATTCCATCCTTGTTTTTCTCAATCCTTTTTCTCTGACTGATTTCAATCAACCTCAGGGCTTTCAAATACCACAGGATAGATTAATGACTCCCAGTGCTTTCCTCTTGTCTAGACCTCGTAACTGAGTCACTCAATGTATAATTCATCTATTGGAATCTCCAAGTATATACTTGGCTTCCCAAAACTCAACATATTTAGGAATTGACTTTCACTTGCTAATTAGTCAGGAGGCAGAGAGGCACACACACACAAAGAGAGAGAACACTCTCATTTGCTAGGTCACTCCCCAAATGACTGAGCCAGGCATCAGGAACTCAATCTGGTTCTCTCCCAGACAGAGATATATCTTCCATCTGCTGATTTACTCCCCAGATGGCTACAATGGAGCTAACAGCTTCTTCCTGGACTCTCATATGGGTACAGGGGACCAAGCCTTGGGTGACCCTCTGCTGCTTTTCTAAGCCATCCCAAGCTGGATGGGAAGTGAAGCAGCTAGGAATCAAACCAGCCCTCATTTCGGAGGCCAGTGTTGCAGCTGATGGTTTAATCTGCTACACTTTGGTGCCCATCCCCACTGGTGTTTCTTAAGCAAAGGCATGAAGGTTTCTGTAAGTATGTCTTTGGCATGTGTATTAGGTAGAATACTGTAACCCCAAATTTCAGGCCCACTCAGAACCTTGGAATATGAGGTTTGGAAATAGGGTCCTTGTGGATAAAGTGCTTTAAGAATCTCATGATGAAACCATTCTGTGTTGCCAGCGATTCCTAACTCCCAAGATTGGTATCTTTAATAAAGAGGAGATGTGGAGAACCAGCAAGAGGCCTTGGGAGGGCAGAGGCAGGAATGGTAACTCCTTTGTTCCACATCATGGGATGCTAAGAGCCAGCAGAAATCAGCAGCACAACGATCCTCCCCTGGAGACTTAGTGGGGAGTGTGGTCCTGAGGACACCTGACTGCTCACTCTCAGTTCCAGAACCGAGAGAGCAGACATCCCTGTTGCAAGTCACCCATTTGTGAAATTCATCATGTCAACCCTGGCAATCCAAAACAGACTCAGGAATAGAAGGGTTGAATTTGTAGCGGCAGTTTGGGAACAGAGCAAATCAGAGGAAAGAAAGATTTCCTTTGGGACATGTTAATGCACAGACAACGGGGGCTGGAACTAGGCTCCTATTTTCCTTGTGGTCAGTGAGTCAGCATGTAGTAAAAACAGCCAGTCACAAGTTCAACTTCACAGCATCACTTTCTTAAAGGAGAAAAAAAATGCAGCAGATGGCATTTATCTTCCAAAGACTAAAATACCATGATGACATATGGTTTTTCTGCCTGACTTTATTAGGTACAGCTCTTAATAGGAGGCTGAAATCTTCATCTCTTATCACAGGGAAGGAATCCAGACCCTTCAAAACAAAACAACTTAGAAATAGGATGGGGCACAGGAAGAGGGTCTGCTTACCTGTTCTGCCTTTAATGTCAATTCAATAAAAATCTGTTGGAGTTTCTCATTAACGAAATTGATGCAAAACTGTTCAAAGCCATTTTTCTGAAATAGAAAAAAAGTCACATCATGATTTTGCAAAAACATTTTGAAATCATTCTTGAGCGATTCCGTGAGATAATGCTATGTGAAGCAGTTTAGCGGAAATGTTGGCTGCATCAATAGAAAGAAGCACAGTTTATATTTAGGAGAAACTAATTTAGTAAAGGTACATGAAGAACTCACAAAGGCAAAAATGAGCCACAGTGTTTTTCTTTTTTTAAAATGTTGTCTAAAATTATTTCTTATAGGCCATATAAAATACATCATTCCCCTTCGATCTTCAATTTTTTTCAGACTGGCCTTACCTGGAATATTTCAAAGCCATAGATGTCCAGCACACCAATGTTGTATTCTTCATGGTCCTTCTGCATGGCTTTGTTGATGGACTAGGAGAAAGCAGAGAGCACGACCATCAGCTCTGTTCTATTCATCTCGAAAGTGGGCTGAGTGGGGGCGGGGAAGGGAAGCCCCACTCTACCCAGCAAGCAGCACTGCCACGTGGAACGGAGGACAACAGAAAGAAGGGAGATGTGCAGATTTCCCAGGGTCTCGGTATCAAGTCAGATGCTTTGGAAAACCCAGAGAACTACCATGAAAAGGGGAAAGTGTTTGCTTAATGATGAAAAATAATGATTTGTAGCTGAGTAAGCTTTCCTCAGCAAATATTGAGAGTCAAAATAAAACATTATCTGGGATGATGGAAGACCAAATATTAGGAAATCTGGAAATCTCTCTCTTCCGTTTTCCTCCATTCAGCAGTCATTGAATGATCACATAATACAACATGCTGGAGATGCCAAGGACAAGACGGTTCCTGTTGTTGCCAGGAGCTTACAGACAGGGGGAGGTGTCTACGGGCCATGACAGTAACCACTTAAGCACTGAGAACAAACAGTTCACATGTATTTAACCTTCAGCTTTACCTCTCCTTGTGTCATTTCACTTAATCCCTATGACAATTCTCATAATGGTAGTGATAAAATGATTATCCCCATTTTCTAGATGGGCACACCAAGGCTTGTCTGTGAGTGCACCGCACAAGAAGCAGAGCCTGGGATTAAGTTAAAGGATAATGCCTAAATCTTGTTCTTGATCACAGTGAGAAGGGGTCATGCAATTGAATGAAACAGAATTAATGACAGCAGGGGAAGTGAGGGAAGAAAAAGTTAGTGAGGGAGCAACACTCCTACAGATGGTGAATACCTGGAGATTAAAGTACCAGAAATGATTTCCAGGCAAAGAAAATAAAGACTCATGTGGTGAGCTAACGGGGTCATGACATAGAACACTTAGCCCAGTGCCTAGTACAAAGTCTGTGTCCCGGAAACACCAGCTCAAATCAGTGTCACTTACATGGGCATTCATCCACTTTTACCACAGAAAAGTGGAAGGATGACAGGAAGGAAGGAAGGTGGGAAGCCCAGCACTGGAAGGCACCCTGAACAAAGAGACAAGAGATGTGGGTTCCAGTGCTACGTAAGTTCTGCACCACACTCTTGCTGAATGGCCTTGGGTAGATCTGCCAACACTCAGGCCTGAGAGTCCCTTCCTAGTAAAACGAAGGATCCCAACAAGCTAAACACTTGACATTTGTTTGGTATGTCCTTGACCTTCCAAGTTATATGTTTCAGATAGTAAACAGCCACAAGAAGTACAAAGAAAAGCTATTCTCCCTGCCCTGCTCTACCACAAGTCACTAGACCATACGTCCTGTAGGTATTACGGCCTGGATTCAATCATAGGCTCCTTGGACCTCATGACCCTACTACTACTGTCCCAGGACCAGGGTCATGTAGGGTTCCTTCCAGTTGGAATATATGAAAGTCAAAGTGGGCAGAGCAGCCAGGAATCCAGCTGCTCCCATATCTATCGCCTAGATGAGCATGCGGCAAATTCTTTAACCTCTCCGTGCCTTACTTTATCTGTGAAGCAGAGATGATAATATCCAAGTTAAAAGATTCTTGTTAGAATTAAGTGAGGTTCCCCACCAATAAAATAGAACAAGCGATACATGTTTGGCTCTTCATGTCTTCAGGGTCTGTACCCACCAATTCACCTGACCCTGACTGAAAAGATTCAAAACACAAAAAATACTAAAAGGCATCTGCCTCAAATATGCACAGACATAGTTTCCTTGTCATTATTCCCTAACAATACAGTGCAACAACGTCCTACAAAGGATTTTCATTCTATTAGGCTTCAAAAGCAGTCTAGAGGTGATCTCAAGTACGAGAGGAGGCACACAAGTTACAATCAAATCTTACATCGTTAAAAAGATGTATTTATCTATTCCTTCTATTTAATATGAAGTGCAGAGAAAGAAAATGTGCTCCTTATCTATTAGTTCACTCTCCATACGTCCACAACAGCGAGGGCTGGGACAGTTCAAGGCCAAGGGTTGGGTCACCTGTGTGAGTGGTAGGGATCAAACCACTAACGCCATCACCTGCTACCTCCCAGGGTGTGCATTAACCGAAGCTAGATTCAGGACCTGTGCCAGGACTTGAATCCAGGCACTCCAATATGGAAACCAGGAGGTCCACATCATGATTATATATATTTAGATATCATATATATATGTATGCCGTAACCAGAAATGCCTTTTGAAAGCTTAAAAATATATCCAAATATCTTGGAAAGAGAGACTCTCAGAGCAGGTGACTAACCTAGTGGGTGAGACACCCACATGTCACCCAACAGGTGCCTGGGTTTGATTCTTGCCTCCAGCCATGGAGTCTAGAGGAGACAGGGGTGATGGCTCAAGAAAATGGGTTCTTGCCACTCAGGTTAGAAACCTGGACTGAGATCCTGGTTTCCAATTCTGGTCCTGGGCCCAAAACACAGGCAGTTGGGGGAATAAGCCAACAGACAGGAGCTTCATAGAGAAATCTCTCTCTGCTATCTGTCTCTCTTTGCCTCTCAGATCAATAAGGTGGAGCCTAAAAGAAAACATGGTAGTGTGACTACTCGAGTCCAAGTTTAGAGCATGAAAAACCTGTGGCTTCTTGTTTTGCCCTCTGTCTGAGCTCACTCTGGGGAAAGTCAATGGCCATACTGTGAGGAGACTCAAGCAGCCCAAAGGACATTCCCACGGGAGAGAAACCAAGATCTGCTGCAGGCAGTCATGTGAAGGGTCGCCTCATGACCGCATCCTCCAAGCCATGGGCCAGGCTTCAGAGGGCTTCAAGTCCAGGTGACACCTTGATTTTGATCTTGCCCTTGAGTCAGAACCACCAAGCTAAGCCTGACACACAGATACTGAGAAAATAAACTCTTACTGCTTCAAACCACTAAGTTTTGGGTTACATCTGACAAATACAATATTCATCAATCTTCAGCCTCAAAGTCACGAGAAGCCCTCATCCATGAGTCTCTTCATTTTTGTTTCCTAGCCCCAATGTCACTAAACTTTTTTTTATAGAAGAAACTGTTAGCATTTTAGGTTTAGCTTAAGTGCCTTAATAAACCATTCTAGCAGGAAAAAGGGAATGCAGTGTTCCTGGAAAAAGAGGATAAAAAAGCTGAGCAATAAGGTTATAGCTTAAAGGAATGAACTAAAACATTAAACCAGAAACCCTTAGCAGTTTTCCTCTCCATAGGAAAAACACAATGTATTGTCCGAATCAACCCAAGATACTTACATCGACCAGGAAATCAAAGACCCGGGCGTGCAGTGCCTTGGCAAGGGCATCCCTGGTATAGCAGGCCTGCTCCACATTGAGGGTCACGTGGATGGACTCGGACTTGCCTCCCCACTTGCTGTCCATTTGCCTGCTGGTTAGCTTTTCTTTTAACCGGTCCTGGTTTATCCCCAGTAGATATGCAGGAAAAGCCAAAACTACAGAACACAGAATAAAGCAGGTTTATCTTTCAGAGTTGCAACAATTCATCTCACGGACACCTGGAGGCACTGGTGTGCCTATGAATACACATTGAGCACCAACATGAGCCCTAAGAAACACTCCAGGGAGGACTGCTTATCAGCATTCCCATATGCATGCATCAACTCTGTTTTTCTCCAGTTATTCTACAAGCTGAATCAATTACTATGACAGACTTTAATGATACCAATCAATGCTCCAAGAAGGCAGAGCAAATCAATGCTCCTAACTGAGATCATAGTTAGACAGTTCCTCACGTTTGCAGCAAGACATCTCGGAAGAAATTCCACCAAGAACTATCTCTTTGGCTTCAAAAACTGTTTTCTTCCTTTTTTTTTTGGTTCGATGCTTTCACAGCATCAGCTTCGAAGTGCTTGATATCACTGAACTACTAATTACAGTCAACCATGTATTTTTGTCAGATACTTACCACATGCAGGGTTACTAACAAAAGAAACGATACAAAATACGCCAGAAATCTTGCAATCTATACAAGACAAAGATGGTTTAACAAATAAAGGACTCTCCTAAAAGCTGAATATATAACAGAAACAGAAAAAGTTCTAGAAGAATTTCTAACAGGGAAATATTACAATTTGGTAATAGTTAAGGAAATTATGAGATTTGGGCTGGACCTACGAGAGCGAAAAGGATCTGCAGGGCTGCAGAAGGGTGATGTGCTGTGCCGAACAGAGGCGGCAGGAGAGAGGCTCGGCTGGGGCATGACAATCATGGACCACAGAGGAAAGTTCAGACTAGAACCTCAGGAAGGATTTGGACATGGAAGGTCTTCGAAGGAAATACTTGAGCTGGAGGCAAAAGAGGGCCCAAGTAACCCCCAGAGAAGGGCAGAACAAAATACCCACCATAGAGAGTCTTCAATCAGGAGACACTGCCATGTTGGTTTAGTGTGCACAGTATGGTTAGAGGGACGGAGACTACCAGTGTTCCTCTTACTATGGCACATACAAACCACACTGCTACATGGAAGAAACACCTACATACTCTTGGGGTAGAAATTAGAATCCTTCCCCAGGTCCACAACCTGAAAGAAGGCTCAGATCATTTTCAACACGAATGAACTGCTGGCAAGTGAAAAATATGAATTTTGACAGAAATCTATCTTTTCTACACAGAGCTTGATCAGAATTCTCGGATAAGAGGATCTTGTTCAAGACCTTGCTCTAATGCTCTCAAGTCACATGCCTCCCAATAAGGGATTATCTGTTTGAATTTCACAGATGGTGTTAGAACGTAACAGGCCGACATTTCTCAGTGTATATGTTCCAAAGAGATTAAATCAGTAAACACATTTTGAAGACATATAATGCTAGAACAAGGTAATTATCATCTCTAAGTATCACACAGAAATGTTTAGACTTATAGAAGGTTTCTTTTATGCAGGACATGTGTACAAAATCAGAAGCATTGATTTGCCAATGGCCATTTCCTTTCCTTTAGATTTAATGGAATCACATCTAGTAATCTGGATGTGTCTTCCTCTGAACCAAAAATTTCTTAGCTCAGAAAAAAAAGACAGATGGTGCCCATAAATCAGACTGGATACACAAAAGGATGTGGTGGGAATCAAGAGACATTTACTAGTGGCCACGTGGTGTAGCAGTGAAGATGTCGCATCCCAAATCCAAGTGCCTGGGTTCAAAACTCCAGACCTGCTTGCAAATCAAGCTTCTCACTAATGTGCACCCTGGAGGTCACTAGGTCATGGCCCAAGCACCCATAGGGGAGACCTGGATTGAGTTCCAGGTTCCTAACACTGGCCTGGTCCAGTCATAGTTGTAGGGAGAATCTGGAAAATGAACCAGTAAATGAGAGTTTTTTTTCTCTGTGACTGTGTCCCTTTGTCTTTCACATAAATAAGCCATCTTCCCTTAGAGAAACATTTACTGAAGTATCCAACGTGTAAGCAGCCTGCACTCGGGGGTCACTGTCATGCAGATTATTGCCGTGACTGGGGAGGGCATAGCTCACTCGACACACTGCACATGGTTATCAACTGATTAGGCCAAGGTGCCTCTTTGTTCATGGGAACAGCAAATATATCTATAAAATGAATAATTAGCCCCAGTCATACTAAAATGGAGATATAGTTTATTTGGTAAAAGTATGTTTGCGTCACTATCTGTGTGATCTTAATGAGATGAAGTTGAAAGCCTCTGAGATGGGAGGAACAAGCAAGGACATGTGCCATCTCTGGTACCTCTACAGCACAAGAGAACATGAAGGAAAGGCTGCAGGCTCGAGAAAAAAGGCACCAGATCAGACCCAGAATGAGTGCCACAAGCCTAGCGCAACAGCAAACAATCTCCAAGAAGGAGCACCATACTTGGCATGGTGACAACCCAGGCTGGCTTTTTTTTCTTAAACTGCAGCTTTTACGGCTTTTTTTTTTTTTTATTTCCAGTGACTACCTTGTTGCTGAAATGATATGGCTGCTTATATTGACCTCCTCCAGGCTGTAAAATTTCCATGATGGCATGAGTGAGAATGGAGGATCAGAGAAGCCCAAGTGTGGGGGCGGGGGGGGGGGAAGCACTGATTAAATATTAAAACATCTATGTAACAGTGGTAAGGTTAATGAGAGTCAGCTGAAACATACAAGAACCTGTTTTTTCTAAAATCATCATTTATAAATAATGAAGATTTCTCTTACTGCATAAGGTAAAGTTGGACTGAACTTTCCATCTAAAGCTTAACTATGGGGTAGGTGCTTAGCCTAGCAGTTAGGACGCCAGGCCAATGTTGCTGTACTTGGCTTCAATAGCTTCTTGTGATTCCCGACTCCAGCTTCCCAATAACGTGACTCCTGGGAGACAGAAGTGATGTCTCAAGTAATAAGATCTGTGCCACCTGCTTGGGAGACCTGAATTAAGTTCCTCTCTCCAGCCTTAGCCCTATCCTAGCCAACTCAGCCATCTGGGGAGCAGGCTAGCAGATTTTCTCTTCTCTCTCTCTCTCTCTGTTACTCAAAAGTTTTAAATACAAAAATCTACACTTTAAGGAGAAAGAAAAAGCAAAAAGATAACAAACTCCATATTTATATGTTTAAAGGAACTAGCAAGAATAAATGAGTGTGATGTGAATGTCTTTCGTATTGGGTACAGTCACTTGTAGTTTTGTTATTGAAGTATTCATTTTTGTTTTTTTTTCATTCAACAAAACCTTAGGTAAATTTGGTATTTACTATTTCTCCAGTAAAGCCTGTTTTCAGAAGTATGTCATCTTACTTCCTTGATGTGAACAGGCTCACATACGCCTGCCGTAAGGTTTGCATTCTTTGAAGGAATTTTATTATCTTCACTGCTCTCACAACTTTTTTTTTAATAACAGCTAGACGAAGCCACATTTTTAAAAAAATTACAAAAACACAGGCTAGTATTTCCGTCTACATATTTAGTCCATGAATAGACAACCTTTGCGAGCATGCTGCCAGTGTTGGCTCAGGAGGGTGGAAGCAGGATCTCAGGAACCACCTACCTGTCCAGCAGCCAATCAAGTGTAGCCAAGCAATGGAATGCTACAGAGGGCGAAGCAGAACTGGTGTGGTGGTATAGGAAGGACAGTCACTGCCCACAAAGCCAGCATTACATGTGGGTCTTGCTCATGCCTTGCCTGCTCCACTTCCCATCCAATTCTTAGCTAATGGCCTGCGAAAAGCAGAAGGACATGATGGCCCAAGTATCTGGGCCCCTACCACCCACGTGAGAGACCTGCAAGAAGCTCTGGGTCTCTGGATATGTCCGGGCTCCATGCCAGTCATCGTGGCCAGCTGGGGAGCAAACCAACAGAGAGATCTCTTACACATTCGTCCCTCTGTACCTCTGACGTTCAAATAATTAAGTATATCTTTTTGTTTCTATCTCAACAAAGATGAAGCTCCTTATGAATTCTCATCAAGTAATTTTCAGGATAAAATGCTAAGTGAAAAAGCAATCACAGACTATTGTGTTAGGAGCATCATCATCATTCCACAGTGGGAAAGAACAGATGTGTGCAGCTCCCTCCCTACCAGGGGAACACAAGAGGTTGGGAACCTTGGTTACACCCAGGGAGGGGATCTAGCTGATTGGGAAGAGGATAGATGGGAAGGCGTTCAGTGTACTCTCTGAGCCATGTCAATATATCAATCCAATGGACAAAAACAAACAAACAGAAGAAAATTACAAAGATGGGCTCACATAGCTTTATAGATCTTTTTCGTTTCAAGCATGACTTTTTCTGATCTCCATCCTTCTGCTACCTCCACTTAAAGAAATTTCAGACAGTTGCCAATCCTGAGCCTTACTCATTTGGTTCAAGAGGGTAGTAACTCCAGATATCAATGTGCAGTGAAAAGATTCTTTGGCTTAAATAGCCAGGGAGAAGTTTTCTGCTTCAGTATCATGAATTTGTTCTTAAGCATAAAGACACAGTAAATGATTTTATGCTACCCAAGAAGGGTAGAGAAACTCAGTTTGTTTTCACAGAAGCTACCAACAAAGTGATCCTACAAGACATATAGAAACCTGGTCACCATTGGGTTACGCTTAATGACTTCATGGATGCCTGTGGATTTATTATGTTCTACCCCATTACCTGGCAAACACAATTGGTCTTTATCACCAAGACATCAGAAGTTAGGAGAACTTCCCCATTTTATCAGAAAAGAAAATAGAAACATGAAAAAGAACCTTATTTGGAATGGAAATACCCCAAATGCCTTGTCAGCAATGAGTGGGATACTATTTATTACTAAGTATCTAAATTTATCATCCTGGGAGAATGCTGAGAAAGGAAGAAATGTCTTCCTGGGTGGTTGAAGGACGCGTGGGTTGTGAGAACAACCGAGGAAGCCATCTGATGCCCAAGAGGCTGAAGTCATGTGCCCTGGTATTTGTGGTAGGCTGTGGACACTTGGAACCAACATCTCTCAGCAAGGAAGGACTCCTATTTCTCCTCCAACAGTAAAAACGGTCCTCGTCTCTGACTGCTAAGATGTGATCTTTAAAGACATTATCAGAAATATCAACAAAGCAATCAATGTCAATTTTTTTCCTCAGTTCAGAAATCCAACTTAATCCAAACTAAGGGTAAACTGAGCCTATAACTATTCCATATTTATACTTTACAAGTCTTTTAGGTAAATATAGATTGTAAAGATCAGGTACAAAAAGACTTTCACTATGTGGATATTTTTTTCTGTTACTGTCATGATTCTAATCTTCATTAAGAATTGTCATCTTGCCTTTAAACCTAGAGGAAAGATTCTGCCAGACTTCCCCAAAGTTAATGACATAATGGAATCATTTCACCGATGATGTACTGTGTGGGAGATAGATGGTGGTGGTGAGCAGGTGCACAAAGACATTCCAGTCTTTCAGGAGGCCAATCTGATCTGCTACCACACGATGCCTAAGAGTTCTCATCTCTTCCTAATACATTGTGCTGTGAAGTCTTAACAAAGGAATGTGTTGGGTTGCTTCCATCAGGAGCTGACCACCCATCTCCCCACCCACGACCACGTGCCAGAGCTACTCACACTCTTCACTCTCCACTGCGGCGTAGTTGCCTACTTCTTTGAAGCTGATGTTGCCCAGATGGAGCACTCCAGCCACTATCTGCAACACCAGGGTCTGCTCTTCCGCAAAGATCCCGATCACATTCATGGCGTGCTGCGTGAGCAAACAAGAAAGAGCCAGACAAGCTGATCACTGGCATTACTGGCAGAGAATAAAGAAAACAGAGGATTGGTTGAGTTGTGCAATGATGTGGTTTAACATGTGATGGCAATGCCAAGTCCCCAGCCTGCAGGAATAAAAGCAGGAGAATCCAGCAGGAAACACGTGCATAGAATGGGGAGTTGCCAAGGCTGCCAGGCTGTCCCTCATCCTGTGCTGTGTTCTCACTGTACTTCCTTCTTACAAGGTCACTGCCATCCCCTCTCCAGCTTCTGCAAGTAGATTCAAGAAATCTTTCCTTACACGGAAGGGGAGAACGGACTGCACTTTGCAAGTAGCTCATGATTAAAAATCCTGGGAAATGAAACACAAGTATCGTCAAGAAATCTGATGTCAGGGCCTGTGCTGTGGTGTAACAGGCAAAGCTGTCCCCTGCCATGCTGGAGTCTCCACTGCTCTCTTTCCAACAGAATTCCCTGCGAATGCATCTGGGAAAGCAGCGAAGATGCTCAAGTGCTCTGCACCCCTATGGAAGACAACACCTGCCTTCTGGGTTCAGCTGCGCCATTGAACCCATTTGGAGAGTGAACCAGTGGATGGAAAAACTCTGTCACTTTCTCTGTGTAACCCTGACTTTTACATAAATACATCAGCGAAAGGTCAGCTCTAAGCCAGGGCCTTCCCTCAGGCTAAGGACTGAGTTCCTGGTCCCCTGCTTTGGCCTGGCCAACCCGGGCTCCTGCAGGTATTCAGAGAGTGGGCTAGAAGATGAGATTCCCAGGCCCTTTCTGTTCTCTGCCTTTCAAGTAAATTCAAACAAATCAGAAAAGAAACAAAGGAGGGAAAAAAAATTAAAGGTGCTTCAAAATTTCTGAAACTCATTCATTTTCACTTAAAAACATTTTTTTCACTTACTTTAACAGCAGAGGGACACACAGAGATCTTCTACTCACTGCTTCACTCTCCCAATACCTGTCACAGTCAGGAAACTAGGACTCCATGGGGGTTTCCCACATGTACACTGGAGCCATTGTTTATTGCCTCTCGTTAGCAGGAAGCTGCGACTGGAAGCAGAGCTGAGCCTTGAACCCAGCCATTCCAATATGAAGCAAGGGCATCCAGGATGGCAGCCTGGCCCTCCCCAGCACTTACCAGAGTTTCCTGGAACTCACGCCGGTCGTCGATGTCGTCAACCTTGTAGGAGCCGGAGAGGCTCAGGTAGTAGTAGTAGTCCATGCTGGTGATGCCCAGGCTGTGCTTCTGCTCTGCCGAGGCGCCCTCAATGAGCTGCAGCCAAACGCCACGGGACATGCCATGATGGGACCACAGAAGAACCCAGAGTCACCTCTTGGTTCCTGACGCCACCCTCAACCAGCCCAGCTTAGAACCCCTGCTTTCTAAACTTAGAACGGCCCCAGTCTCCACAGTATGTCCTATGCATTGTGGCCTCGAATCTTTTATACCCATTCTGATGGCTAACTTGAATGAGATTGGCAAGAGCTGATGGCCTCCCCCTGCCCAAGGAGAGCCAACTGTACTCCCCACACCTGGGAGCCCTTGGACAGATGAAAGCAAAACAGATAATCAACTTAGCCCCTGTCCAGTTTGGATGGCTGTATCAAGTCAAGAGCTGGCTCCCCGGTACTTCTCACTACAGCATTTACATTAGAAAAAAGCTGTAGGCACCCCCTTCAGTATTCCAAAACCTCCTGCCAAACTGTCCCTGAAATGTTTGTTCCAGTTCTGATGTCTGGGGAGGACCCTCTACTAAAGGGTTCCAAGGAGGATGTGCTGGGGCATGTTAAGCCATCTGCTCAGAAAGAAAATAATTGATGTGTAATACTTATCAATAGTTTAGAACTACTCCTATTGATGGATTTCTAGCTCTCAAAGACCAACCACAGAAGAAGAGGTGGGAAGACAAGGGCACAGCCCGTGACCCAGCTCCAGCACATCGTGGTGCTAAAAGCGATGCAGCTCTTTCCCACAGCTACATCCCAGAGGCTAAATTCACCTGTCCATGCTTGCTCTCCTGGTCTGTGAGCATTTGCTGCTGCTTCTTATTTCCCATGGCCTCCTCTGACACCTGGAGGACCTGGGTCTCTGGATTTGTGTCTGACTCCCACACTGTGGCTGTCACTGACTCCTTTACTGCCTCGTTGTCCTCAAGGTGCAGACAGCCCCCATGTCCAGTGTGGGCTGGGCTTTTCTCTCCGCACCGCAACAGGAGTCCCACTGATTTCAGAACCCTAACTATTACATTTAGGGCAGAACCCAGACTCCCTGAGTTAGTGGGGTTCCCAGCCCCTCTTCGGGTGCTTTCCTAGGGGGAAAGGGCTTCTGGAAGTGGACAGGCTTGTGTTTACTGAAAGGGTTCTTGCTTCCATTACGTACTTGTAGCAGTGCTCAATACATACTGGACTGTGTGTGCGATACACAGAACCATTCATCTGTGCACGTGGCTCTGATTAGTGCAATTAAAAGCACGGTTTAGATCACACAAGCTTTTGATCATTGATGTATTTTTTTGAACCGAAAGATGCCAACTAAATGAATTATTTGCTATCACTGACGGTGTCACTGAAATCAAAGACTGAATGAGAGCTGTGTCGCAGCTCAATTTCCTTCTAATCTTCAAATTAAACTCAAAACAAAACGTAAATTTAAGCAGTTACCAGGCCTTCCTTCAAAGGCAGTCTACAACAGATCCCTAATCCATAAAATATTAGCAAGGAAATTAAAATATAAGCAATTTGGTGATGGCATCGTCCTGATTTTTGTATGTTCAAGAATATATATATATATTTTTAATTTTTACTGGAAGGTCAGACTTAGAGAAGTAAAGACAGAAAATTTTCCGTACATTTATTTACTCCCTAGTGGCAAGGGTCTCAAGGCTTTGGGCTGTCTCAAGACCCCTCCCAGGGTCTCAAGACTTTGGGCTGTCCTCGACTGCTTTCCCAGGCAACAACCAGAGAGCTGGATGGGAAGCGGGGCAGCTGGGATCCCAGCACATGCAAAGTGAGGACTTTAGCCACTAGGCTACCACACTGGGCCCATTCGTGAACCTTTTAAAAAAGCGGTTGAATCAGATGATTGCTGAAGGCCCGAAGCCTGATTTAAAAGCATCTGGCTCATAATTTTAGTCCCAGATTCTCCAGGGCTCCTGAGGGTCTCAGCTGAAACCTTCTGATGGGTAAGGATCCTAAGGCTGGGGCATTCAGCTTAACGGTTCAGAAATCTGCCTCATATACTGGATCACCTACATTTGAGTCTTAGCTCCTCCTTCTGACTCCAACTTAGTGGATTAGTGGCTCTCTCCCCACAAAGCTTTGGTTCTGGTCACCTGCCTCCCCTAGCCATTCTCCCTTCACCCTACACCAAAGGCCCTGACCGTGTGACATGTCTCTTTATCATCCAGGCCAAATATCTCCAGGTGAATTCCCTCTTGGCAAAAAAATCAAACACTCCTACTTTTGTTTAGAAATGATTTCAACACTTTCTGGATTATTTTAACTCTTGGAATTTTGTCTTGCTGCTGCAATACGAATCCATTCTGCTCAAGTGTAGGTACAGTCTCATGATTTCTGTGCGTGGTAGTTTATATATATACAACAATGAATCCTTGGCTCCCCAAACTATGATCTCTAAGAAGAAAAACCGTCTTCTTCATGTAGAGAAGGAATAGGAAGTGAGAGAGAAAATCATAAAAGAATACCTGGTAAAAGATGTGAAAACTCCGCTCTCCAGGATTCCTCATCACCACCCTAGATTTTTCCAGAAGGAAGTTGGAGATTTTTCCACCATCTGGCTCCCCACCTGGACTGAACTGGATTTCAAAGTATTTTCCCTGCAAAAAAGTGAGGGATTTCCTTCAATGGTTAGCAAACATAAACATGATGTTCCAAACAAGCCTGGAGAACAGTATATAATACAAGGAAATTTGTTAATGAAAGACACATTCGGCACCACTCCTGGCTCGGGACTAGACTTCCTCACCTTTTCCTATCACACAATGACATGGGCTTTTGTCCAGTCACATTCCCATATTGAAAGAGAATCTAGGTTCCAGCTTGCCTAAATAAGGATATGGTATATTCCTTTTCCATTTTTCACCAAGTAGGCGCTGGTCTACCCAATTATAAGATGTAAAGAAACTGGCAGAACAATCCCCCGGTGTCTTCATCTAACAAGAAAAAAGTTTCTTTTGGTGGAAGTCTGTGTCCTCTCTGGTAGACTCCACGTCACAAAACTCTGAACAAGCCAATTCCTGTGGCCTCTGGGGCATCAAAAACGCCTCCCTGAAATACAAACACTGTACAAAGCCCACATCATTCAATTTTAATAAACCCAGCCCCGCTTTCAAGACAAACAGCAGGCATGTGTGTATCATGCTTACATACGAAATGAATATGGAAAAACTGTTAAAAATGGAAAACTGAAAGTATGCTCATTGAACTCTATTTTCCAGTATTATCTGATTTTTCTTTGTAAGATTTACTTATTTTTATTGGAAAGTCAGATTTACAGAGAGAAGGAGAGACAGAGAACAATCTCCTGTCTGCAGGTTCACTCCTCAGTGGAGCAGCAATGGCTGGAGCTGAGCCCATCCAAAGCCAGGAGCTTCTGAGCCTCCCTCGAGAATACAGGGTTTCAAGCTCTGATCCATTGACATCTTCACCAAGTTCTACATGATAAGCGCATTTTAAAACAAAAAACAGGGCATTATAAGTATCGCCCTGTAATCATGTTTAAAAACCTGAATAATTTATTATTCACATTTAAAAAGTAACTATGAGGGCACTTTAAAAAGTCTATGGAAGTAGAATTAAAATAAGTTTATTTTGGTACAAAAATTTTTTCAAAACCATGCAGCGTTTTTTTTTTTCATAATACACATTATGATGCCCCTAAGCACAGTACAAAAGTTGGATAATTTATCCTGTAAGTATTAATGGGTAATGATAATGAGCTTTTTAAACAAAACAAAACATTGTTCATTTCTCTCCTGGGCCAATGTGTCAGTCTTTAGCTAACAGTCTTTTCTGTGTACCAGTCTCCTTAACATCCATTTATCTAAGAGGCAGAAAATGGTATATGGCTTTAAGCATGCATTCTCATTACTGGTGTCATGTAGAAATGGGACTGACTCAACACATGCTTGGTACATGCACAGCTGAACTGCCCAGCCACACTCTCTGCCACCTTTCCATCAGGATTGTGTGACAGAACAGTGATACATGTTGACTTTTGTTATTTTTAAGATTAATATACCCTCCAGGGATAAAGACAAATTTGTCTAGAAAAAGAACTCAGGAAAAATAGTAATTTAATTATTGTCTACTTTATAAGAGAGCAGCAAATGGGTGCTTGAGGATTTAGTTCTGGTCAAATCCATGTCACATGTCAGATTTAGACAGACGCTTAGGGTCAAAAGATCAACTGGAAAATTGGCTTGTATTTTTCCTATTTCATGAACCTAGAGAGTTCTTCAAGATAACTCCACCTAGGCACTAAGCCAAAACACACGATAGAGAAGCAAATGAGGAAATACTTGAAATAACACTGAGAAACAAGGAAAGTGAGGTTCAGTTGGACAGAATCGATCAGCAAACTTTGACGATTATCACCTGAGAATACAGTATATTCTCTTAGAAATAGAAACTGCCTTCTCAGGTGAGCTCGTGGCCTAGTGGAGTGCCTGGGCTTGATGCCCATCTACGTGCCCAGCTCCAGCTTCCTATGAGGTAGTAATAACTGGCTCAGGTAGTTTGGTCCCTACAACCCACATGGGAGACCCGGGCTGAGTTTCTGGCTCCTGGCTTTGGCTCCAGCCAGTCATCACTGCAGATATCTGAAGAGTGAAACAGTGGGTGAGAACTCTGCCACTATGCCTTATCATGGATCTACCTCTAAATAATTGTTTTCAAATGTATTTGAAACAATGACTGACAGGCAGGGAGGGGATCAGAAGGAAGAGAGAGAGAGAGCAAGGTTAGTCTAGTCAATACTGTCTCTAAACGCCCACGATGGTCAGGGTTCGAGCCAGGCATCATGGTCTCCACCATGGGTGGCAGGGTGCCAAGAGCTTGGAATATCATCCACCGACTCCTCGGTCCATTAATAAGGACAGCTAGGACTGAGACCAGCACTTAGGTATGGCAGGCAGGCCTCTCAAGTGGGTGCTTAACTACCCGTGCTATAACATTCACTCCCTGAAACAAAATCTTAAAGTAATTTTTTCCCAATTGCTTTTCTCTGAAATTCCACCTATTTATTTTGAAATGGCCCCGTATCATGATGGGGTGGAGCCAGCTGATAGCTAGCACCCACTTTCTGGGTTAACTGACAGTGTGGACAGAGGTTCTGTGCCCTACCCTTCCCACCTCCTCTCATGCCTTTCAAGTTAACGGACAGCCCAGAAATGTCTCCTCTTGCCTCCTACTGTGTTACTTAGATTAATTAACCACAAGGAGACTTTGGGCTCTGGCAGCTCCTTTACTGCCTCCTGCCATTTATGGCAACTTTGTCCTATATGCCTCTCAATCTGATTGGAAGATGAATGCTTAAAAACCTAACTTTGGTTGCCCTGTACAGTGGTTCCTGGAGTGTAGTGGGAGCTGCTATTGTTAAGTTTGGCCAATAAAGGCTGCTCCTAACATCCTACACTTGTGTCCATTGTGATCTCTCTCACACTCTGCAACAGTTTCAGCCTCACAGACGGTTCCTTATATGCATGAGTGCCAGACACAATCTACGGCTGAAATAAGATGCCAAGTCTATATAAATTAGACTTAAATGGGGTTTTGTCGTCATGGGAACTATACATGTGCCAGCCTTCCAGTTCACCTCCTCAGGAGACACCCAGATGGAAAACTGGCAAAATGGGCACTCATAACAGTGCATGTACTTGATATTTTCATTGCTATGGTATATGATATGTTCATTGCAAAGCCTGGGAAGCCAGGTTCAGTCACTTTTGGGCATCCTGGTGTTAGCTGAGCACATACAAAACCAATGCGCTGCGCAGGGTGGGGATGGGAGGTGGTGGTGTAAAGAGCTCAGCTCATGCTAACAGCGAGGAGGGTTCTGTACAAGTTGCCCATCCATCCACAGACCATGCTCTAAGAGGTGCACTGACTGCTAGTGGAGAGTCATCCCTGAGTTATCACATATCATGCTCACTGATCTGCTACAAAAGGGCTTTTATACCTTTAACAATGGTCACTTATCCTTGGACAACTCCAGTGGAAACCGGCTTGTAAAATGATCTTGTTTGCACCCCTAACGCTCAGAAGCAACTTCAGACAAACGGCAAACTGAAGCCATCGTAATCTGATGTAAAAAATTATGACAAAACTAAAAAGGATGCCCTCCCCACTCATGAAAAGCTTGTATTTCCTCTGGGATGCTGGACCTAAGTGGAGAATGTCAACATGCTGGATTGGGCAATATGCTTGGAAGCAAGGAACTCACAAAACGGCTGGAGTTGTTGTTGCGGACGGTCTTGGCGTTCCCGAAGGCCTCCAGCAGTGGGTTGGACTGCAGGATGATGTCCTTCACGTGCTGTCACAAGAAAACAGACCTGAGGTTAGGTAGCTGTAAACAAACACCACCCTACATGAAGCTCAATGTCCCCTAAGGCCTTCAGTTCCAGCAGAGACCCCAAATCCACACCCATCTCTTTCGGGGGATGGTGTGGGGGCTCCTGAAGGATTTACTCTTTTGAGACAGATTCACACCTGCTTATGTCAGGTCATGCAACCCCCTTTACCTGACGCAGGAATCCCAACAACTGGGCAGCACCAGGAAATTGGGGTCTATGAACTTCCCTGGTTCCATATGGGGGCTGCACTTCACTCCTTACTTCAGGGTGTGTCAGGAATTAGCAGGAAGGAGAGTGAAACCCAAAAGGGTATCTCCTTGCTGTCCCAACCACAACTTTTACTGTCACTAACCACCCCCACCGGTCTACCTGCTCCACTCAAAAACTGAATTGTCTCAAGGGAAATTACTCTACATCTCCCTCCCCAAATTGGGTTATACGAGCGTAACTTTGTGCGTCTCAAACTTTAATGCACATAAACTATCTGGAGAACTAGATATAGTTGGGAAATCAGTAGGTCTAACATAGGCCCAAGAATCTGCATTTCAAACCAGCCCCAACATGGATCCTTGCTTTGAGCAGCAAGGGCCAAGAATGGAAATGTGTGGTACACTCCTGGTCTACCGGAGGGGGGCATCTGGTTTTCCAACACACCAGTTGTCCTGTGCCAGGCTGAAAATGTGCAAAACCTACCAAGGACATGAGACAGCTCAACAGATAGGACATGATGCTGCAGAGGTCTTTCAACAAGTGAGTCATTCCTTGTACGTCTAATTATTCACATGCTACAGTTAAACATGTTCCAGAAATAACAAGTCTTCTGGCTTGTGCTCGTTAGCTACTGACTAATTGCAAGCCAAGAGCTCAGTACTGTTGGCCTCACAGAAAAACAGGAAGAGAAAAGTTAACATTAACTGTCTACAGTCTGGCCACTAGGTCAGAGGCGTTAGCAAACAGGACTAGATTAAGGCACCAATGACTAGCTAACTATAGAACAGCTGCAGTCTCCCTCAGCACCCTCCTGAACACTCAGAAGAGAAATGCTGAGAAACGAGAACTGGCATTACACCATGGCTGGGAGACTGACATCAGTAAAGGCACCAAGGGAAATTTGGGGGTGATCCTTCCAGGGAGTCAGTTTCATATTTTCAGGCTGCCCACTGTCTTTGAACAACTCAAGGATTTATACAAATTTACTTTGTAAAATTAATTTTGAGCCTGCAGATCTTCATGATTCCCTTATATCTTTTGGTTGGTGCTGTATTGATGTGTCTGTATCAGTCAGCTTCTCTTAAAGAAAAAAGGAGAAGCTCTTCTTGTAGCTCTTCCCTTCTGCAACTATGGAGTTTTAAGCAGCTATACTCATCCTTCAACTACTGGGATGGCCACAGACCATGAGGGCATGTATGGAGTTATCTTGGAGAACAGAGAAAAGAACAGATAAAGGTAAAAGGGCTGCCCACTTACAAAACAGCATCCTGGATTCCTGTTTCTATGTCAACCCTCTTAGGATAGGGCAGGATCATACACGTGGTATTAAGCAAGTGGACAGAAAGACCAGCTGGGTTCTAGAATTACACTCGCTGAACAACACAGAGGCCATAAGAAGTCCCATACAGGTATGAGTGACATGGCAAATCCCAAACGAGATGTACTCTAAAAACAGAACGCACACTGGATTTCAAACAATACCAGAAAAGAAATACAAAACTGTTCATTTTTTATTAGTGATATATTAAATGTTTTAAAGGATTTATTTATTTTAAAGACAGAGTAACAGAGAGGAGAAGAGGAGGAAGAAAGAGAAAGAAAGAAGAGATAAAGAAAGGGGTGGGAGAGAGACGAGAGAAATCCCTTCCATCTGCTAGTTCATTTTTCAAATGCCCGTAACAGCTAAGGATGGGCTAGGTAAAACCAGACGTCAGGAATTCCATCTGGATAATCCACCTGAGTGGCATGGGCCCGAGGCACAGGGAACATCTGCTGTTTTCAGGTGCATTGGCACCAAGCTGGATCAGAAGAGGTGAGATTAGAAGCAAGCACTCCCACTGAATGACAAAGCCTAGGCCCAAAACACATTTTAAAAATGATTTTGCTTTGCTTTGCTTTCCTTTTTATAAATGTGGCTACTAGAAAATTTAGAATTACATATGTGGCTTTCATCATCCTTCTGCTGAACAGAACTATTGGTACTCTACATAAAGAATTCTGGAATCGGTCTTAAGCTTTCTGATTATCAGTACAAGATGATGAAAGACTATTTGATTAGCAGCCACAGCCACAATAAGGAAACTTAAAATGTGTATTTTTAATTTATTTTTATTTATTTATTTATTTTTAAAGATTTATTTATTTATTGGAAAGGCAGATATACAGAGAGAAGGAGAGACAGAGAGGAAGATCTTCCGTACGATGAGTCACTCCCCAAGTGAGCGCAACAGCCGATGCTATGCCAGTCTGAAGCCAGGATCCAGGAACTTCTTCTGGGTATCCCACACGGTGCAGGGTCCCAAAGCCTTGGGCCGTCCTCGACGGCTTTCCCAAGCCACAAGCTGGGAGCTGGAAGGGAAGTGGAGCTTCCAGGATTAGAACCAGCGCCCATATGGGATCCTGGCGCATTCAAGGCAAGGACTTTAGCCACTAGGCCATGCCGCTGGGCCCTAAAATGTGTATTTTGATAATCTACAACTGAGCATGACAATCACACTTCTTATTAAACAATTCTGATTAAACCAATCTTCAAAATTAGCTCTACTGTGGAATATGAATTCTAATGTTAGAAAAAGTTGATAGCAGCCCACACAGTGAAACAGGCTGTGCGTATGGATGGCCCCCTATGGACCTTACCCCAACATCACCATTACCCACTGCTCTGCCACGAGGGGCTTTGCCTGGATGCAGCAATGCTCCTTCCATAATCACAATGAACAAAACCTGTGACCACCCAACTCGTCACACTGTCCTCTTGAATCTGTTCTCTTTCCAGCTTACATCCCCTCCCTTTCTTCTCTCTGCTCACGTTGCCACTTTGTTTTTCATATCTCATTGATTTTTCTTTTGAACTGTTTGCCTTTTATTGCTTTCTAGGAGCGCCTTACATTTTGGGCATTCATTCAAAATGTGTCGCTACTTTGCAAATTTCAAGCTTCTTGGTTAAATGGAACCACTGTCTATTCTGCGGAAGTAAAATCCTTTCTTGGACAGCAAATGGAGCTTTCACTTATTGAAAAAGGACTTGATCTAACCCACCGTCAACTCACCTGGACTTTGGGGCCTCCTCCAGACACCCTGGAGATGTAGCTCATGATGTACTTGGCAGCCACCGTCTTCCCAGCTCCACTTTCACCACTGGAGAGAGAGAAAGCAAAATGCCCATCCATGAGGTGGTACCACAACCAGCTTCTCATTCCACCCACCCCTCCCCAAAACAAAGCAGGCAAGAGGAATTCAGAGGGTCAGAAAAGGGGCACAGTGCTGAGTGCCAAAGGCAAGTTGTAGCACGAGTCAGTCATTTGGACTGTGTGTGAGCCAACACTATCATGGTGAGAAGCAGCAGCTAGACAAGGCTCATTGCACACATACAATTAAGCTTTCTAAATGCACTGGTAACAGGGGACACAATTAGGAAAATTATGGAATAGATGGATGACTTAGGTAGACATCAACACTAGCATGCAGACTAGACAAACCTCTCCCCACCAAAAATGCATTTGAGGTAATGCGAAGTGAAATAACATTCAAATTATGTATAAAGCATGGCTCCAAAAATATCCTTAGAAGAATGTAAGAAAAAAATTAAGACTAACTACCACAAAAGCAGTAGAAGTTGCTTTTTCTGTGTCATTATTTTCCAAACGTCTTACAATGCATCACGTACTGTTTAAAAGTTCACGGAAAATGTGCATTCTTAAAACACTATGCACGGATTTCAAAGTAAAATTTATCTTTCAGTTGGCTTGCCAATCTCCATAAGCTTTTTAAAATATCCTTGTTATTTCTGTATTAAAAATGAAGCAAGTAGGCACTTTTGAGGTTCCAAATCATGTGCCCTGGACTGATGCAAGTTTCCTTATTTCCGAAGTTCTAAAATTAAACGATGAGGGCATATTAATCACATCCTGAGGAACAAAGACTGCCTTCCGTTTGGTAGCCTAACTGTAGAAGGAAAACCTTTTGTTAACGTGTAGTCTGCTCTTCAAAATCCCCGTTCTTCCTTCAGAATTCCCCTGGATTCAACACGGCCTCAACTCAAAACATGCTGGGGTCAGTTGGATTCCTCATCTCTTTGTATTATCAGGCTAGCTGTCTTCATCATATCAAATGATGGAGGCGTGCGGTAGGAAAATTTCAGGCTGCTCCAACTCCCTAAGACAATATTGTTTTGTTTGCTTTCAGTCATCAGGAATTTTGGGGTGTGGTCAAAGATGCAGCACCTGCTGGGGTGCTAGGAGAACATCTGACTGCATAGGATATAAAGTTGGTCTGTTTCTAAAGCATGAAGCATCTCTGCTGAAGAATGTTCCAGAGCCTGACCCTTTGATGTGTCTCCTGAAAAGTCTGTATGTTATGCCAAGCAGCTAAAAACCCAGAAGAGGCCCGGGAATGAGCAGAAACACGGAACCTTTGCTTAGAGTACAAGCAAGATCCTGCCCTTCTACCTCTAAAAGTAAAGAAATCTAGAAATAATTTTAGATCTGAAAACAAACAGAAAAGGAATGAAGCATCCATCTGTCAAAAACTCAGCTTGGTAGAATTTGCTCCCCTGAAGTATGGTATGTCTCATTAGGTACTATGGAGAGCCTAGGATGGAGCCATCCTCTAGGTAGTGCTTTGACCTTCTCAGAGTCTGAACCCACAAATCTAGTGCCAAGCACCCCAGAACAGGGAAACCCAACTGGAATTTCATCATATTGGCGAACAGAGGAGGAGGAGGAGGCGTCACATTGCTTACAGAGGATGAACCTATCCACAGACACACGGAGGTTCAGCAAATTCAGCTCCAAGATCAACACAATCAGATGATTCCCGGGTTGGACCAAGGCTGTAGACATACACAGCAGTTCATCTGAAGCTAAAGTTCTGCCGACACAAATTTCTGTCTTATGTGCAGCAAACCATGTAAACACTGGAGAATATGGCCACATCCCAACCTGGTGTACTATCTAGTGGCTAAAGTCCTTGCCTTGCATGCGCTGGTATCCCATATGGGAGCCAGTTCTAATCCCCGTGGCCCTGCTTCCCATCCAGCTCCCTGCCTGTGGCCTGGGAAAGCAGTTGAGGATGGCCGAAAGCCTTGGGACCCTGCACCTGCATAGGAGACCTAGAAGAAGCTCTAGCCTCCTGGCTTTGGACTGACTCAGCTCCGGCTGTTGGGGCCACTTGGGGAGTGATTCCATGGTGGAAGATCTTCCCCTCTGTCTCTTCTCCTATCTGTATACTTGCCTTTCATTAAAAATGAATAATTCTTTAAAAAATGATTATGGCAATATCAAAGAGGATTGTTTGATAGCCACCTCACTATGTGATTTCACATTGATGTTTAAAATGATAATGAAGACTCTGGAGCTGACATAAAGAGTCTGCTGTGTCCAGTGGTGAGTCTGCTGTGTCCACCTGTCATACATTGATAATGATGTAAGAATATGGGGAAAAGAACTAAAATGGAACAAGACAAAGGATTTCTGGTTTGTCAAGAAGATTGCAGTGATTGTTTATTGTGATTTTGTGACTACTTTTTTTTTAAGATTTATTTATTTTTATTACAAAGTCAGATATACAGAAAGGAGGAGAGACAGAGAAGAAGATCTTGCGGCCTCCCCAAGTGGCCGCAACGGCAGATGCTGTGCCGATCCGAAGCCAGGACCTAGGAGCTTCCTCCAAGTCTCCCACAAGCGTGCAGGATCCCAAAGCATTGGGCCATTCTCAATTTCTTTCCCAGGCCACAAGCAGGGAGCTGGATGTGAAGTGGAGCTGCCGGGATCCCAGCGCTCATATGGGATCCCAGCATGTTCAGGGTGAGGACTTTAGCCTCTAGGCCACTGTGCCGGGCCCTACTTTTCTTTTTAAATAGGCAAATCCCCATGTCTCTCAGCTTAGAAAAAAACAACCTCTGCAGAAGAGGGAGATCACACATCACAGTGATAAACAACACTGATCAATTTCATCAGTTTCTCCAATTTCCTAAAATATTCTGAGTTAACCTATTTTCCATGCATTTACATTTTCATGTTTAGAACTCCTAAGAACAAGCTGTAATAGAATAGCAACAAGTCCATACAATTATGAAATAATGGAGCAATTCTCTCACTATGTCATTGGCTAACATTGTGATCTGACAAGAAATTTAACTTCTGTCGGAAGCAAAATAAAATTATGAAAGTAACACCTTTCACATACTAAAATAAGTGCAAAATCCTAAATAGGACATCATACATTCTCAGTGGTGTTTTTCAGGTTGTTTAATTAGTTCTAGCTAAACAGTGATCTGAATTTTCCTTTTTTTATTTGTTTACAGACACTTTAAAAGTTGTATTGATCAGAGGCCAGTAATTTGCCTGAAATAAGGTATAACAACAAAATCCTACACATTTACTTACTTGAAGCTTACAGTTTATACAACCAAACTATACTGGTTATTTCTTCCTTTGGACAAAGAAGACAAAAGAAGACAAAGGTGTCACACAGTTTATGCAGCACACCTGAAATCATCCACATTCCATCTCACTACTGCGGTTGATACACAAAGCTTGCCTAAATTAATGGCCTTTACTTGACTTCTGAAGCAGACAAAAACAATAACAACAAACTCTTGAAATTAGGAAAATGCCCCCAGTGGTCCTTAAAGCTAGCATCCTACTGGGGTCCTCAGAGCATCTTCAAAATATCCATGTGGGGGATCTGCGGGTTCCCAGTCTCCTAGGACAGTTTCTAGGAGTAAGAATTTTTTGAAAAACAAACTCCCCAGTTCTTACATAGCTGGCTGCGAGCCAAGCAATTTGAAATCAAAGTCAACAGACTTCAAAAGCGATGACAGTGTGTGTGTGTGTGTGTGTGTGTGTGTGTGTGTGTGTATCTCCACAGAAATGGAAGCCTGCACTAAAATTTCAAGGAAATGGAAAAAATATTCTGGGGGAAACGCTACTAGTGATGGCATATTAATCATTAGACTCAAGGAATGCTAATTGTTTTTCTGAGTCTTAAGGTCATTTATCACTTAAAAAAATCAATAGTGTTTTCAATGTAGTTCAGCTTATTCTAGTAAACAAACTGTTTCCATTTTTTTTAGATACTCACAAAACAAGCAGGGCTATCTATTCCTACTGCTGGAAAACGTACTCATCTACTCAAAATCTTCAGAGCGAGTCATATCTCCTCTCTCTCCCCTAGTTCTGCGCACAGAAGCTACTGTTCCCTTATGACTGAGTTAATGTAACTAAAGTTATTTCTCCAATCTTCTGTTCATCCCCTAGCTATTTAGAAAGGACAAAAATCTTGAAGTGAACATTTATGCATGCATTTGTTCTCCCAACACGCATGGTCCAAGCCGTCTACATGGGCCAAGCCAGAGGCAGGAATGAGATGTGCCTCCAGCCTCAAGCAGCGCTTACTAAGTCCTGGAAAAGGTGATGGCACAAATGTAAGAAATAACACAACCAAAATGTTGGTCTACCTTTCAGGGAGTTGTGAGAGGCATGAATCCTTGGAAGAAAGTCGCAGCCAGTGAAATCTCACCGAGACAGGTGGAGTGTGAGCACAGGCTGAGAGTGTGGGAAAGGCCTGGGCTACAACACCCAGAGGCAAGAACTCCACAAGCAGGAGTGAAGGCAGCCAGGGGCTGTTGACCAGGACCAGGCTAGGAGGCAGGGAACTGGGAGGGTGGAAGGCAGTTCAGAGACCCCTGGGTCTGGCCTTGAGTGTCAGGATTGGAAAAGCATCAAGGGTTCAATTCTGGTCAGCAGTACTCAGTGATACCCTGTACAGACTCCAGGCTTCGGACCTTTCTACACATTCTACCAAGATATTACTGACTTGGTGTATTTCTCTAAACTGGCTTCATTTAAATGTATATAGAAAGCAAATCTCTGACTAGTAAAAATGGAAAACCAGCATCACTTTCCCCAAATTAGCACTCTTACAATGAAAATAACATGACCAAAATGCAAATAACCATCAGCATAGAATAAATGTGCATTTCTTAAACACTGTCTTCTGCTAAGGTCACTAAAGCAATGAAGCACCAGTGTTACTAAATATACCAAGCACCAACTCTTGGTCTCTAAATACCATTTTTCAACACAAGGACCCAGGCTTCCTTAGAGTGTCAGGGTTTGGAGTGTCCAGTGTCAGGG